ACTAACAAGGCAGGCCACCCACTCATCAGAGAAGGCCCACTTCTTCTCAGAAGCAAAAATGTAACACATTTCCATATGCCGGTCCATCTTCTGCTCAATGATGGCCATGGTGATGGAGGCTGTGATGTCCTCAACGCTCTTGTTGTTCAACACCCTGCTGGTTTTCTGCAGGAAGTCTTTAACACACTCAGCCAGCTCAGAGACCACTTGCCTCTCCTCCTTGGACAAGCTGGTGGTATCCAGGTAGAGCTTCAAGTTCTGGCTGAAGGAAGTCAAACTGTCACACAACCGGTAGCTATCGTAGTTGGTGCCCTGACTGCTGTTGAGCATGACCTGTAGCTCCTCCCCCCACTCCTGCAGCAGACTGTGCATGAACTCAAACCCGACAAAAATGGTCTCGCTGGGGAGTTTGGCCAGTGAGGTCAGGCTGACATCCCGCTCTGCTTCCTTTACCTTCTCTGCCAGTGCCTGCTGATGGTATGGGTTCTGGGTGTCTGAGTTCCACACAGAGATCACTGTGGCTAGTTTGTCTAGATACATGGTTGCAGACACTTCCTGGGGGTCATCGTCCATAAGGGCAAATACTGTCAGCATGTCGGCCAAGTTGGCTAGTGCACAGCACTTCATCCCAAGACACAGGATTCTCTTCTGGATTTTCTTCAGTCCATTAAGCAGCATGGCCAATAGAGGCATGGTGGGACACACATCTGGGTCTGACTTAAATCTCTTTGGAGGATGGGAAAACTCATCTGAAGAGGGCAAGTACTTATGAGCCATTATTGTAAACTGCGATAGCAGAGGGTCTTGCTGATTGCCCTTATGTTTCATCATTTCCCACCAGACGTCTAGGAAGAAGGCCACATCCTTGGAAGAAGTGTCAACAGTCATGTGCTCCAAAAAGTGCTCTAGTTCGGTGCGGCAGATGGTGGTGGGCAGGGCCATCAGGAGTTGGATAAAGAGACCAGAAGCTTCCAGAGATTTGAGCAGCTCAAAAAGGACTGTGTGGTTGATATTTGGGATCATGTTACCCACTGAAAAGAACACATCCTCCTGCCACCGGGTTTCAGTGTCAGAAGGGCTAACGGGGTAGGGCTGAAGGATCTTGGCCCAGATGATGATCAGAGCTTTCTTCTTCCAGGCAAATGGCTGGGAATGTGCTGTTGCTGAGGAAATCTCCTTCAAGGCCTCCACAATGGGCCGCCCAACATGTTCCCAGTCAGACTTGGTCAACTGCGCCAGTGCTTTAGGGCGGAATAACTGCTCGGCCAGCAAGAAGCCCCCATGCAGAATTGTCATTTCTTCACAGATATTCAAGGGTCCTGTACAGACAGAAGTCAAATAGAAAGGTCTTCAAGATTAGCAGGGGGTGGGGAATAAGCCGATAGGTTAGTTGTCATTATCAAAGTTAGAAGAGATAGAACCACTGCAGAGAGTCATTAGGACTTGGGTGAGGAGTAAACAATGACTTCCAAGCTCTCTAGGCTGGAAACTGAGAGGATAACAGACCATAAGAAATAGGACACCAAACAGTTGGAAGGGAAGACAAGTTCATTTTGGGTTACTTGGAGCACGGAGTCAAGTAGAACACTAGATGTCTTCCAGCAATGGGAACGCACGGTTAAAACTCGGGAGGAAAGTCAGGAATGTGCCTGCCCAGAGGGGCTTACCATAACCAAGGAGGTGAAAGATATCCCTCGAGAAGTATGTAAAGGAAAAGACCCAAAGTCTGCAGATGCCAGACCTGCCCGCAAATGACAAGAGTTTGGGGAGAAAGGTTTAAATGTCCAGTATAGAGTACAGGACATGACAATTGAGCTTCTCAGTGTTGATGCAGACTAAGGAAGACACAGCCCCATTTTTTCTCATAGCCTTGCTAACAGGTTTCAAATACTTTTGTGCCTTCAATTACAGCTCACCCCATAGCTTCCTCCAGAGGATAAGCTACTCAAGGCTCTGTATCTATGGTAGGAACCAGGGAATAGATACAAGAAATACTGCACTACAGGAAAAAAGCAAAGTGTTCCTTTGGTGAGGTATGAAACTAAGAAAGTTATCTTGGGAGTTTAATCAGACACAAGTTTCAATTCTAGCTCTGCCATTCAAAAGTGACACAATCACAGAGAAATTACTTCTCTAAGTTTCCCTTTTCCATAAATGAGTAGAATACGTACTTTGTGGCATAACCTGAAGATTAACCAACACGCTAGTCATACCGTTGGTGTCTTCTGCTCCCTCCTTACAAGGATGGGAGAGGGTACAGGTTAAATATGATACAGCTCTTAATAGCCTAAATGCTCAATAAATGTTGGTTTCTGAAACATTTTCATTGTTGGCAGGACTTGAATCTTGCTTGCTTCCCTTAGCTCATAAACATGAAAAAACATAGGTCTTTACCAAGTGTGTCTCCTTTGGCTAAGAAATTAAAGTCAGAGCACAAACACTGCTCAATAAGTATTTCCTTACTCTCTCATTTGGAGCTTAGAGATGCTTCTCAGTCCCTCATACTCCTGAGAGCTTATCTTCCCCATCTTTCCCCCCTAACAATCCTACTTTTTAGCTATCAGAACTTTATGGAGCTGGGAAGGTGGCTCAGTGGTAGAGTGCCTGCCTTGCATGCATGAGGCCCTGGGTTCGATTCCTCAACACCACATAAACAGAAAAAGTCGGAAATGGTGCTGTGGCTCAAGTGGTAGAGTGCTAGCCTTGAGCTGAAGAGTGCAGGGACAGCGCCCAGGCCCAGAGTTCAAGCCCCATGACCAACAACAAAAAACTTTATTTACCTTCTTTAAGTGTTTTGAGAATAATGATTATCATATTGGGATACTATTAACCTTAGTACAATTAAGGTGCTTGGTAGAGTTAACAGACTCATCAAAAAGCACTTATCAGGGGTTGGGAAGGTGGCTCAGTGGTAGAGCGCTTGCCTTGCATGCCTGAGGCCCTGGGTTCGATTCCTCAGTACCCCATAAGCAAAAAGAAAAAAGCTGGCTGGAAGTGGTGCTGTGGCTCAAGTGGTAGAGTGCTAGCTTTGAGCTGAAGAGCTGAGGAACAGCACCCAGGCTCAGAGTTGAGGCCCCATGACCGGACCCCCCCCCAAAAAAAAAAGCACTCATTTTTCTGTCTATATCATTTTTTTTCTTTCCCATTTTCATAGGTCAGAAGAAATCAGCAGAGAAACACTGATCTCAGGAGACTAAGAAAACAACCATTTATAGCACAAAAGACCAAGGACAGGCACTTCTAGGCAATCCATTTGTGAAGCCAATCCATTTTAGCCCCTAGCAGTTGAGTGGGTTACCCAGGATCATGATGCTCTGGGAGTTAGGGGCCTTTCTTTCTGGCTCAGGCTGCTTTCCAGGAGCACAAGAATGTTCCCTCATGACTACAGATTGAAATTACTTCATTATCAGTTCAACTGAGCAGATATGTGCCTCCTCCCCAGCATATGCCTTCTAGATATGAAGTATGCACATATGCTGCTTGAAAAAGATGCAGAAGCACTAGGTGCTGGTGCTCATGCCTATAATCCTAGCTACCCAGGAGGCTGAGATCTGAGGATCATGGTTTCAAGTCAGCCAGGGCAAGAAAGTCTGTGAGACTCTCATCTCCAATTAACCACCAAAAAGCTGGAAGTGGAGGCATGGCTCAAGAGATGAATGCTAACTTTGAACAAAAAAGCTCAGAGACAGCACTCAGGCAGAATCCAAGTCCCGGGACGTGCACAGACAAAGTTGCAGAAGCAGTAAACAGCTGGGGAAACCCCCTGTGCTTTATCACTTACGACGAGCTGGTGTCGATGGAGCGCTTATCAAGTGCTTGCTTACCCTGGCAGGCATTGCACTGAAGGGGTACACCTCTAAGATCTTTTCATCTTCAAATTAATACTTTGAAGATTATGATTCCAGCTTTAGAGATAACAACAAGACCCAGACACAATGTCCTCCATGTGTCCCAACGAACAAGGTGGTCATGAGACAAACGGCCACTGAGGCAGAGCTCCCAGGTGCTGCCGTTGCGCTCCTGAGAGCCGGCTGGGGACAGGGAGCACAACACTTCACAGGCTACTCATCACTGACACCGCTCAGGGCGGCTCTTCGCAACAGCCTCCTGGGTCTTACCCTGCCTTTAAAAGCACCCGGGGCGGGGCGAGGGGGCTGGGCAAAGCGCCGGCAATTTCTATCAACAACTCCTCCTCTCTTTTCCAGACCTCGCCTATAAGAGCTCTGCACCAACTCGCACAGGTTCACAAAGTTATCTCCGCCGAGATACTTCCCGCCACAACCGAGAGCTCGATGAGCCGCGCTGCGCGCAAGGCACGGTCCCGGACACTCAGGAGAACTCTCCCGGAGGAAGCGGCGCAGCGCCCGGCCTCGGCGTCTCCCAGAGGAGACGCGGGAAGGGCTGGAAATGTGTGGAACAACTTGGGACACTTTGAGTGAGGGCAGCGGGCGTCCACCGAACACGGCCTTCCTACAAGCACGTGCTCACACCCCGTCCGCTTCCCAGGCACGCAACTGCACAACCGCCCGGGGTTTTCGCGGGGTTGGAAAGGCGCCCGAAGCGGGAAAGAAGTGGGCCGCGGAGCCGCAGGGCTGCCCGGCCACAGCTCGGCCTTCCGACCCCCGGTCTCAGTCTCCGAGGATCCCACCCCCCACCCCAACTCCCCGAACCTCTCCCTAACCCCAGGGCTCTCCTTCACCCAAACCCACGCTAGCAGCGTGCGCAGCGGGAAGGCCGCGCCCAGTCTTGGAGGTGCGTAGGTAGGAGCGATAGGGGGAAGCCCGGCACCCACCTAGGTCCATGGCGGCGACGCTGGTGGCGGCGTGGGGGCGCCCCGCCCACTCCGAGGCCGCGAGCCCCGCGCAAGCGCCACGGCACAATGGGCGGGGAGAGAGGTGGGGCCTAGGAACGTGCCTCAGGCCCCGCCCAGAGTCTCCGCTCCACTGAGCTGCTTTCGGCCCGCCATTCCTCGCGCACGCGCACTCCGCACCAACGAGCTCGCGGCGCCGAGGCCGCCAGGCCCACAGCGCCCCCTCTCGGCGCCCAGCCTCCCTCCAGCGCACGGGCAGGTACCTTCGGCACCGTTCCCTTACCTCAGCCCGGAACCCCTGGTTAACTCCCGTGCACACTTCACCCACACCGAATGCTCGTTCCCGGGCTGTCTACCACCCGGCTGGCCCGTGCCACACTCGGGGTCATCCTCCTTGCAGCGGGTCGGCGGGTCTCACGCTTTCCACCCAGCCCCCAGATGAGCACACAATCGTCCTCAACGCTCTTTATACCGCATTGCCTCCTTGGATCGCAGCGACCTTAATTTTCTAGGGTCATAGGCACCTTTGAAGCGTGGATGGATCATCCTTCCCAGAAAATACAGTGGGGACAGATCCAATCCAGTGGACCTTGGTCGTTGACCATGCAACTTTAGATGGTCATGTAACTCTTCCCACAATCTCCCTTTCTTCCCAACACCTAATATCAGCCTTATGTAATTCTGTCCCTCCATCCTCCAGTTTCTAGCACCAAGCATCACCTAGAAAAGATAGAGGTGCCAGCTTCGGGTACCCTAAATGTGCCAAGTGGAGTTTGAGCTGGCCTGTGCTGCGATCAAGCAGCTGAAGGGGCCCGTGAGTGACGAGGAGAAACTGCTGATATACAGCTTTTACAAACAGGCCACCCAGGGGGACTGCAACATCCCTGCCCCCCCAGCCAATGATGTGAAAGCCATGGCCAAGTGGGAGGCATGGAACAGGAATAAAGGGATGTCCAAGATGGATGCCATGAGAATATACGTTGCTAAAGTGGAAGAGTTGAAGAAAAAGGACACTGGCTAGGACACTTTAGCCGACTGAAGTAGCCTGGCTCGTCTGGTAGGGAATGGGCTTCTTAGAAGAAATGTCCTGAAGGGGTGGTAGGGTTAGCTGAAGCATAAATAAAAATCACTTAAACTGCATGGAGTGGCTGTTGCTGTTGAAAAAGAGAAGCTTTGGTGACTAGAGAGTCCTGGTGAGGTATCCAAATGTACTTTTAAAAACACCTCCCAAGTGGCTAGGGTTACAGGCTTAAGCCATTGTGCCCAACTGTTCTCTCTGGATGTCATGAGGACATTATGATCCGTGTAGAATCACTATTCACAATTACATGTGAAATGAAAAATAACATACCTTGCTCCAAAATGTAGTGGCAGTTTTGGAATTGTAGGCCTTATTGTATATGTATTTGTGTGTGTGCACATGTGTGCATGTGTGCGCCTGCACTAATACCGGGGCTTGAACTCAGGGTCTCAGGCTTTTGCTTGGCATTTTTGCTCAAGGCTGGAGCTCTGCCACTTGAGCCACACCTTCACTTTTGGCTTTTTGCTGGTTAATTAGAGTTTCAAAAACTTTCTGTTCAGGCTGGCTTTAAACTGTACTCCTTAGATCTCAGCCTCTTGAACAACTAGGATTACAGGCATGAGCCACTAACACCTGGCTTTTTTTCCGTGTGAGTGTGTGTGTGTGTGTGTGTGTATGCCAGTACTGGGGCTTGAACTCAGAATCTCACACTCTCTCACTTGGCTTTTTTGCTCAAGGCTAGTGCTCTACCACTTAGTCATACTTCCACTTCAATGCCTTATCATTTTACAAATCCTTACAGAACCTGATAAGGAAATCACCATAAGCAGGACTACAAAAAGTCATATGTAACTTTTTTTAATATGTACAAATCATGCATTTATTTCATATTTCTACAACAGTACCATGGCTTTCTTATAATTTGATGTTTTACATATTTGTTACTAGTCTTATTTTGAAGTAATTATAGGCTCACTGGAAGTCACAAAGATAATACAGTGAAGTTAGGGTATCCTTCACTTAGGTTTCTCCAGTGATTATATTTATAAAATTGTATACTATCAAAAATAGGAAATGAAGGGGCTGGGAAGGTGGCTCAGTGGTAGAGCGCTTGCGTTGCATGCCTGAGGCCCTGGGTTTGATTCCTCAGCCCCACATAAGCAAAAAAGAAAAAAAACGGAAGTGGCGCTGTGGCTCAAGTGGTAAAGTGCTAGCCTTGAACTGAAGAGCTGAGGGACAGCGCCCAGGCCCAGAGTTCAGGCCCCACAACCAGACCAAAAAAACAACAACAACAAAAAAAACAAAAAAAAACAAAAATAGGAAATGTATGTTGTCATATCTGTATGTTGTCATTTTCCACATATATACATTTATTTATTTCATATTTTATCATATATTATTATTGTTATGTATGGTTTACTATTGCAGGGCCATTCTCGAAGTTAATTGGCTTCTCTAGTGTGCTGTTGGGCACACTACTGTTTCTGGGATTTTTTTGTTTTGTTTTTTGTTCATCACAGGGCTTGAATTCAGGGCCTGAACACTGTCCCTGAGCTTCTTTTGCTCAAAGGTAGCACTCTACCACTTGAGCCACAGTGCCACTTCTGGCTTTTTCTGTGTATGTGGTACTGAGAAATCAAACCCAGGGCTTCATGCATGCTAGGCAAGCACTCTACCACTAAGCCACATTCCTAGACCCTGATCTACCACTTTGAGCCACAGTACCACTTCTGGTTTTCTCATGGTTAATTGGAGATAAAAGTCTCACAGAGCCGGGCGCTGGTGGCTCATGCCTGTAATCCTAGCTACTCGGGAGGCTGAGATCTGAGGATCGCGGTTCAAAGCCAGCCCGGGCAGGAGAGACCGTGAGACTCCGATCTCCAATAAACCACCAGAAAACCCGAAGTGGCGCTGTAGCTCAAGTGGTAGAGGGCTCGCCTTGAGCTGAAGAGCTGAGGGACAGCGCCCAGGCCCAGAGTTCAAGCCCTACAGCCGACAAAAAAAAAAAAAAAAAAAAAGTCTCACAGACAGGGCTGGGAAGGTGGCTCAGTGGTAGAGTGCTTACCTCGCATGCATGAGGGCCTGAGATTGATTTCTCAGCACCACATAAGCAGAAAAAGCTGGATATGGCACTGTGGCTCAAGTGGTAGAGCACTCGCCTTGAGCTGAAGAGCTGAGGGACAGCGCCCAGGCCCAGAGTTCAGGCCCCACAGCCAACAACAACAACAACAAAAAATCAAATTTATATTTCAGCAAGTTTAGCTGGATGAGAGTTTGGGGGAGGCATGCATCAATCCAATATGCAAATGAAGACTCCTCACCCATATAGTCAACGTATTTTTAATGGTTATAATAGTAAGTTTCCTTCCTTCCTTACTTGCTCAAGGCTGGTACCCTACCACTTGAGCTTTAGCTCCATTTCTGGCTTTTTGATGGTAATTGGGGGTAAAAATCTCTCATGAAATATCTTGCTTGAGCTGGCTTTGAACAGTGATCTTCATATCATGAGCCACTGGTTCCCAGTAAGATAGAACTCTTTTTCTTTTTTTCTTTTTCTTTTTGTCAGTCATGGTGCTTGAACTCAGGGCCTGGGTGCTGTCCCTGAGGTTTTTCACTCAAGGCTAGCACCCTACCACTTTGAGTCCCAGCACCACCTTTCGGGTAGTTTTTGGGTAGTTAACTAGAGATAAGAGACTCACACACTTTCTTTCCCAGGCTGGCTTTGAACTGTGATCCACAGATCTCCTGAGTAGCTAGGATTACAGGTGTGAGCCACCAGCATCTGGGGAGGCAGAAGTCTTGACCTAAGAAAGATCAAACTTTTGTATCACTCAGTAAAAGAACAAAGTTGTGCCGGGCGCTGGTAGCTCAGGCCTATAATCCTAGCTATTCAGGAGGCTGAGATCTGAGGATCATGGTTCAAAGCCAGCCAGGGCAGGAAAGTCCATGAGACTCTTATCTCCAATAAACCACTAGAAAACCGGAAGTGGCGCTGTGGCTCACGCAGTAGAGCGCTTTCCTTAAGCTGAAGAGCTGAGGGACAAGCTCTGGCCCAAGCCCAGAGTTCAAGCCCCATGACCGACCAAAAAAAAAAAAAAAGGTTGTACCCTAGTTGATTCTGGAATTCATATATATATATTTTATATATAATATATATACACATACATTTATATATACCTATATGTACATAATATATGACATAATATGTATTAGAGATTGCAAAACAGGAAATATGACAATGAAACAAAGGCCACAATGTCCCAGGTTACTAAATATCCATTTCTATCATGTAAGGCAGCTTCTATGATGCATGGTTGTACATTTAAGGGAAAACATTTGGTATGTTAAGATACAAGATAAGCAGAGGAAAAGGCAACTACTATGTATCATGTAGTTACTCAGCAGCAGTTAAACCACTTTACTGCAACATATAGAGGTTCCCTGTATAGCAGCCTAATATACTGGGACTAGTCGTTGCTATTCATGAGTACAGTATTATTACTAGAGATAGCCAACAAGAATTACTTTATCTTTGTCTGAGAACAGACAAAGCTTTAGATACAGAAGTTTATAAAGAGAAAAAGAAATTAAGCAATTACCTACAGGAGGAATATGTTACTTGGTTTGCTTTAAAATATCTAAAATAGGGAGTTCAAGATGAATGAAACTATTGTGGAGCTGGGCAAGGAATTTTTTTTTCTCCTAGTGAAGGTAAGACCATACCTATAAGAAGGTAAACTGAAACTCACCCAGAAATTCCATTCCCTACCCTGCTAGTAAAGGAGAACAGAAGTTATGATTCACCAGAAAATGTAATAGTGTAATTCTGAAACTGGTATCCTCTGAACCAATCTTTTCCAATTTGCTCAGTTTATTCTCTTAAATTTGAATTTGGCCACCATTTTTATTTATTTATTTTTATCAGTCATGGGGGCTTGAACTCAGGCCCTGGATACTCTCCCTGAGCTCTTTTGATCAAAGCTAGTGTTCTACCACTTGGAGCCACAGCACCACTTCTGGTTTTTGAGTCGTTAATTGGAGTCTCATGGGGACTTTTCTGCCTGGGTTGGCTTTGAACTAAGATCTACAGATCTCAGCCTCCTGAGTAGCTATAGGTGGCTCTGGTGAGCCACCAGAGCCCAGCTGGCCACTCTTTAAATAATGAGCTTTAAAGACTAATATAACAGCTTGGTTTCAGTAGCATAGAGTATAAAAAAAAAATTTAGTTGGGCTACAGTGGCTCAAATCTATAATCTTACCCATTTGGGAGCCTGTGATTTGAGGACTGAGGTTAGAAGATAGTCTAAGCAGAAAGCCTGAGCAGACAGATCTATAGAATCTTATCTCCAATTAATCAGCAAAATCCAAGACTGGATATATGGCCTCAAGTAGCAGAGTGCTAGCAATGAGCAAAGAAGCTAAGCTTGAGCATGAGGCCCTGAGTTCAACTTCCAGTACAAGCACACATACACACAAATTAATAATATTCATGATATAATTTTTTCTAGTGATGAGAATAAACTTTTTGTGTAACTCATATAGAAAACATATAGGTTTCTTTTCAACCTGAAGAAGTCATTTAATCCATATTCTTTTCCCCAAGGATTTAAAAAATTATATAAAGAAATTAGCACAGAATCAGACAGGTCTCTACTTCCTGTTTGTTTTTTTTTCTGGCTACTCAGAATATGAAAGCAAGTTAAGATGGGATGGGAGTATCCAAATATTTTTGTCCAGGGAATAAAATTTCTTTTAACATGAAGCCTAGTAGTATTGAAATGTAATCCCAGCACTCCATAGGCTGAGGCAGGAGGATCTCCAGCTCAAAACTATTCTGGAATACTCTATTTTCTTAAATGTCAAGACCTGTTAAAATAAGATATTAGAACACCATATTATCATCAAGTGCTTGGAATATAACCATTATAGGCAATAGATTTGGATTTATTTAAACAGTTGCTCTGATCAAATCTATGTGATTCACAGCTCATCAAAATTTCTCCCATATCCAACTAAGGTTAATATGCCTCAGAGCTGCCCATTATGGACAAATCTAATACAGTTGCACATAGATGTGCCATTCCAGAAACAGTGAAGCTTACAACAAAAATTCTCCTTTATCTAGAGTGATGATAATTCGATTTCATTTCTAAAGTATACCAGAGGTTTTTCAAAGGTTGAAATACATGTCTTCCCCATCCAGGTCTCCTTGCTTACACAGGACATAGCAGAGTGGTAAGAGCATTTATTGTAAATGGGCACATCAGCTCTCACAGATGCTGAACAAGAATCATTGCTCTATATGAGGTATTCCATTAAGCTGAAGCTTTTGGTTTCTTTCTGGTAGCAAACCACTCATCACTTTTATCTGCTGCCATTGCCTGTAGAAACACAAAAGGGGTATGCATTTGTTCCAAGTCTGAGGAAAAATGGATACAATATGCTTTGCAACTCACTTCACTGTCCACAGTGAAAAAAAATAACATCATTCAGTGTAGAGCACCTTGTTCAACATGACAGGAGATGCTATGAGTACTGAGTCATTGCTTGGTGATCCTTTATATGCATAGTAAAGACTTTGCAAAGTATGCAGCTGGGAAGTGTGGGTGGCTGCTGCTAAGAGAGCAGGAACCATGTGTGCCAGGCTGTGGGTCTTTGGTAGAACAAGAATCTTTTTGTATATGTGTGCCAGTCCTGGGTCTTGAACTCAGGGCTTGAGCTTTTTTGCTCAAGGCTAGTGCTCTACCACTTGAGACACAGCTTCACTTCTGACTTTCTAGTGGTTAACTGGAGATAAGAGTCTCACAGACTTTCCTTCCTGGGCTGGCTTCGAACTGCAACCTTCAGATCTCAGCCTCCTGAGTAGCTGGGATTACAGGTATGAGCCACCAGTGTGACAGCTAAGAAACTCTTTAAAAAACATGTACAACAAGTGAAACTCTCATACACTTAAGGTATTTGCCTGTATTCTTATGAAACATGCTCAAACAACCCCTACAGGATACCTAAATAGTATCTGTAACTTAATGCTTTCTCATTCTTAACTTTTTTGTAGAGCTGAGATAGAATCCGGACCTTACGCTTGCTAGGCCAACAATGTTCCACTGAGCTACCCTGAACTGCTGCTTTTGTCTCAGTACTTATCGTATGCAACAGCCAAACTAGCACAAATTCCTTTTATGTCATCAGAATTTCAGATAGGTTTGTTCTTGTCTTTGACCTGAGCAACATCTTTATGTAACACTTTAAAATTTCCTTATTAGGTCAAGAACTTTCAAAAACTTTCTTTTAGGTATAAAACAAGCACTATACAGCTTCTCTTTAGCATATTCAAATCACCAGTACAACTACTTTTATGTTTGGGGACTATTATTAAGTTAGAATAAGGGTCACTTGAAATCAAGCACTGACATATCAGGACAATTAACCTAATAAGATGCCATAAACTGACTAATGGAGAAGGAGCATAGAGTATGTGTACCTTGGACAAAAAAAAAAAAATGACTCATGTCCCAGGTGGGGCAGAGGAGGAAAGCAGGAATCTCATCATGCTGCTCAGAACTTAAAATGCATATGAATAATTAATTTCCAGAATTTCAATTTAAGTATCTTGGGATGGAGTTGACTGTAGATAACTGAACCACAGAAAGAGAAACTGCAGTTAGGGACTATTACGGTGTAATTACTTTCGACAGCTGTTTGGCACTTTCATATAGAGTAAAAACAAATTCTAGTGGGTATTTACCCAAGAGACATAAAACATGTACTACAAGAAGATTTAAACAAAAATATTCAGAGCAGTCTTCCTTAGAATAGATAAACATCTGGAAACAACCCAAATGGTCGTCATCACAACAATAAGCAAGTTTTTAATCCCATAAAAAAGAGTAACACTCAGCAAGGAAAAAATAAATACAATCTATACAATTACATGGAGGATTCTCAAAAATGTTTTTGTTCGGGGAAACAAGCCAGGCACAAAAAATACTTAATGAATGAGTCCATTTGTGTGAAATCCAAAAACAAAACTGACCTATGGTGCCAGAATAGCAGCTGCTTCTGGGAGAAGGTGTCATAAAGACTCAAGGAGGGACTTCTAACACTATAGGAGAGTTACTCGAAGGAGAGGCTTGTCAGTGACATGAAAGTGTGAAGGAAAGAGTCAAGCAAATTTGCCAACTGAGAAGTTCTTGAGATTCTACTTTCCGATGATAAAGCTTCAAAGGGCTCTATTTTCTATGTTTCCTACATTGATTAACATTAACTGAGCCTCTGTTATGCCCACAATGTTCTAGGCTTTATAAACCACACATGCCACCCCCATTTGGCCATTAATGACAGAAGTAGGGAAAGGAGACTCACATCATCCAGTAATTTGCTCCCTTCTGGATCCATCTTAGAAAGTTCTCGAAAAGCTTCATCACCAACAAAGCAAATTTCATGTCCATCCTTTATCAATAAAGAGAAAAGTAATTTGGCAAAAAACATCTCTGAAGAAAGCCCTGAACAGCCTGTTCCCTTGTTAAGTAATACTCACAGGGTCAGCCAGAATGACTACTTGTACAGTTGCCTTGCCTGGGGTGTCCAGACTCACCAAAGGAGTCAGGATCTTCTGCTTCTCCCTTTTCATCAAGTCCTCTAAATCTGGCAACTTGAGGAAAGCAAGAAGGCAAGGTGAGCAAGGGCCATGGATGAGTTTTATGGCATAGTCCTCATTAGCCTAAGACTATCTGGTCAGAAAGAACCAAGTTACCACTTGTTTGATTTATTATCTCAATGTTCTCGAAACAATCGTTAAACCTGATACCAAAGGCACAATCAGAATGAACCTAAGGAATAAAGGGCAAGGTTCTCAGCCAACAAGTGAGAGAGCCTTCACATTTGATCAGGTTAACTAACAGTACCTCTTTCTGGGGACAGGAAAAGGCAATTCTTCCAAAGGCTGCTGCGTGATCCACTGCACCCTTGATGCCCTGAAGCTCCAGCTTACACTGAAAAGAAAAAGGAGAGTGGGCTTGGGCCTTCAGACAAGTAGTTTATGCATATAATAAAAAAGAAAAGCCAATAAAATACCAAAACCTCTCAAAGTCTGTACTGGTGGCTCATGCCTATAATCCTAGCTGCTCAGGAGGTTGAGATCTAAGGATCTTGGTTTGAGCCAACTGGGGTGGCAGCAAAGTACATGAGACTCTTAGCTCTAATTATCCACTCAAAAGCCAGAAGTGAAGCTGTGGCTCAAGTAGTAGAACATTATTAGCCTTGAGCAAAAAAGTTCAGGGACAATGCCAGGTACTGCGTTCAAACCCCAAGACTGGCATAAAACCAAAACCCAAACCAAAAAAAATACCCCTCCAACCAAGGGCTAGTGGCTCATGCCTATAACCTACCTACTCAGGAGGCTGAGATCTAAGGATGGAATTCAAAAACCAGGCCAAGTAGAAATGTCCAAAAGACTATCTTCAATTGACCAGGGGGAAAAAAAAGCTGGGTTGGAGATGTGGCTCAATTGGTAGAGTACCATTAAGAATAAAAAAAACCCAAAGTGTGAGGCCCTGAGTTCAAACTTAAGAACTAGCACAAAAAAAATCTGAACTAAGACTAGAACAGGGTACCAGTGGCTTACACATGTAATATTAGCTACTCAGGAGGCCGAGATCTAAGAATCATGGTTTGAAGCCAGCCCAGGCAGGAATGTCCATGAGAGTTTTGTCTCCAATTAACCACTAGAAAACCAGAAGTGGTTCTGAGATGCAAAGACCCTGATTGAAAAAGCTCAAGGACAGTACCCAGGCCCTGAGTTCAAGCCCCATAACTGACAAAAACAAAAACACTAAAAGAATACAGTAACAATTAAGTCTCTCTCTTACTCTCATCACAGAGGCAACCATTATTTCTGTGTATCTTGCTAGACACAGTGCATGCATTTCTTTCACACAAATTCAGATATCAGCACCATTACACGTAATTCCATCCCTGTTCTTCTCCTCTTAATGCTACCACACAAGTAAAGACTTGCCTCAGTATTTTTGATAGCTGAAGAGTAATCCATCCTGTGAGTAAATAAAAAATTGAAATATTCCTCTAATCTAGACAAAGAGGTTTTTATCTTTTGCTATTATAATCAATAACTGATTAACTCATACAATAGCTAAACTTGATACCTAAGCCACTACCAAAATGAATCTAAGTATAAACTAATGCATAAGTATGATGAGTATAATCTACAACATTGCAAAGAATAGAATTTCTGGAAAAAAGTACAAGGACTAATTCAGGTTCAAATGCTAGTTATTAAAAAATATGTATGAAAATAGATGATGTATAAATCTTGTGTGTATCTCTTCTAACTAAGCAATTCCACTTTCTAGAGTTTTATGCTTGCTAGGTACATATGCTCTACCATTTGCCCTCCCCTCTCTGCCCCTTCCTTTCTTTCCCTCCTTTCTCTTTCAGTGCTGAAGATTAAGCCCAGGTTCTCAAGCTTGCTAGCACTTAGCCATACCCTAGCCCATTCCCCTTCTAAAAGATTATATACCCATATAGAAACAAAGGTAGTTTCTAAGACTCTACCTTAGAGATTAATGTTATTACAATGTTTTATTTTCTTCTTTTTGTTTATTTGCTTAAATACTGAATCACTGTAAGGAAGTTTTGGGAACAACCTTCATGTTAACTTTATCTATAAGCTAAACTGAAAATGAGAGATGTTATTTTTATTCAAGATTACCCACCTGATTATCAGCATAACCTAGCAAAGCCCTTTGCTTCTCCTCATCTTGTTCATAAATTTTCATTCCCAGTAGATTAGACCAATAGTTCAAGGACTTCTGAAGGTCAGACACTGCTAGAGTTACTTTTAATACTGGGTCTATAGAATAATAAAACAGCAGAAATTTGTTAGTTCAGTGGAATAAGTTTTAAAAAGGCCAAAAACAGTTTAAAACAACTACAAGAACTTAGTTTATAGGGCTAGGATGTAACTTGGTGCTGGATTGTATGCCCAGAATGCACAATGTCTTAGGTTTGATTTCCAGAATACATTCAGCTGGGTACAGGTGGCTCACATGTGTAAACCTAGCTCCTCAGGAGCCTGACTCTGAAGATAACAGCTCAAGGCTTTCCTGGGCAGGAAATCCATAAGATTTTATCTCCAATTACTACCAAAAAGCTAGAAATGGAGCTGTGGTTCAAGTGGTAGAGCAGTAGCTTTGGGCATAAAAGTTCAGGGACATTGCCCAGGCCCTGAGTGCAAGCTCCAGGACCAGCACAAAAACAAACAAAATAGCCAGGTGCTGGTGGCTCATACCTATAATCCTAGCTATTGAGGAAGCTGAGATCTGGATCATGGTTCAAAGCCAATTCAGGCAGGAAAAGTCCATGAGACTCTTATTTCCAATTAACTGCCAGAAAAACAGAAATGGATCTGTGGCTCAAAGTGGTAGAATGCTAGCCTTGAGCAAAAGAGCTCAGGAACAGCACAGAAGCTCTGAGTGCAAGCCCCATGACAGACAAAAAAAAAAAAAGAAAAAAAGAATACATTCAATAAATGGCAGTAAGACAATCACTTGGTGAAAAAAAGGCACATATATGAATTAAATTAAAAAATGTATTCCTGATGGGTTAAAGGATTAAATTTTAAAATGAAATGAGAAAATACTAAATACAGGTAATCAGATGATGATTTATACAAGTTTGTGTTGAAGAAACATTTTTTTTCTTTATTTTTTTGGTGCTAGTACTGAGGCTTGAACTTAGGGCTAGGTGTTGTCTCTTAGCTTTTTCTGCTCAAAGCTAGTGCTCCACAACTTGAACCATACTTCCACTTCTGGCTTTTTGGTGATTAATTGGAGATAAGTCTCACAAACCTCTCTGCTTGGGTTTAGGCTTCAAACCATGATCCTCAGATCTCAATCTTTTGAGTAGCTAGGATTACAGGTGTAAACCACTGGCACTTGGTAGATTTTTCTTTAAATCTGACTTCAAAGCTTAAAAAACCATCAAGAACAAAACCCTGTTGGGTTAATTATACAAAATAGAAAATTCATGAATAGTCCAAAAAAAGAATTCCAGAGCTGGGCATTTAGAGCACTTGCCTAGCCATGTGCAAGGACTTGGCTTTCATTTCCAGCACTGCAAAAAATAATAAATAAAATTATGATGAAAAGTAAAGAGTAAACAAAGTAGGGGGAGAGTTTCATAACGTATAGGACAAACAATATGTAAATCATGTTAAGTTCTCATAGGAAAAAGATGAAAATCCCAGAAAATTGGTAAAAGACACAAAGTGTTAATCCACAAAAAAAAAAAAAAAAAAAAAAAGAGAGGCTGAGAAGGTGGCTCAGTGGTAGAATGCTTGCCTTGCATGCATGAGGCCCTGGGTTCGATTCCTCAGCACCACATAAGCAGAAAAAGCCAGAAGTGGCACTGTGGCTCAAGTGGTAGAGTGCTAGCCTTGAGCTGAAGAGCTGAGGGACAGTGCCCAGGCCCAGAGTTCAGGCCCCAAGACCAACAAAATAAATAAATAAAATAAAACAGCAAATATTATAAAAAAAAAAAAAAGAGAAACTGGAATGGTCCATGAACATAGGAATAACTATTCAGTCTGACAAATAATTTTATTGGACACAAAATTATCTTTTCATTATCAGTATTTTTTTCTCAACACATAGTTTTAAGTTATGTTCCCAGTTTTATTTTGTGTAGGGAAATTAATCATGTATACGGGTAGGGTGTAAACTAGTTTACTTCTGGGCAAGGATGTGATAGAATGTATCAGTAGCTTTTGATGGACATTGTTGAAAGAATGCATCAAAAGCTTTAAAAATGTACATTTCTGAAATAGCAAGTCCTTTTTTTAGCAATTCAAAAAAATAAAAGTGAATGTGTGGAGAGTTTTCAGCAGGAAGACATTCCCACAGTGTTGCCCAGAACAATGAAACACTAGGAACAACATAAACATCCAACAATACAGAATTGTTTAATTTCCCACAGCAATGGGATTCCTGTAATGGCTTAGAGAGAGATAGATCATTACATAGTCTGATAAAAGATTAAAAAGATATACTCTGAAAATTTCACAGTAGTTATTTCTGAGCATGTGGGTAGTATTTGTGTGTGTGTGTTTGTGCAAGAAAAATATTATTTATAAAAAGAAAAACTGTTACACCCTAACATTTAGCACTAGTACTGGGATGGAGTTCAGTCATAAGCATACTTGGCATGCTTGAGGCTAAGGGTTCAATACCCAGCTCAAAAAAAAAAAAAAAATTCCTCAAAATATAGAATACCTAGCTAGGCCAGGTATAGTAGCTCAAGCTTATTTTATTTTTTTTGGTCGGTCATGGGGCTTGAACTCTAGGCTTAGGCGCTGTCCCTGCACTCTTCAGCTCAAGGCGAGCGCTCTGCCACTTCCGGTTTTCTAGTGGTTTATTGGAGATAAGAGTCTCACGGACTTTCCTGCCAGGGCTGGCTTTGAACCACGATTCTCAGATCTCAGCTTCCTGAGTAGCTAGGATTACAGGTGTGAGCCACTGGCACCCGGCTGTGGCTCAAGCTTATAATTCTAGCTACTTGGGAGGTGTAAATCTGCAGAATTAAAGTTCAAGGGCAGAAAAAGAAAAAAAGCCTCACAACAACAAAAGAAAAAAAAAAAGAAGGAAAAAATCTTCATGGGATTCCATCTCAACCAATGGCTGGGCACAACTGTACATTTGTACCTATCATTCCAGCTATGAGGGGAAACACAAATGGAGGTCTATAGTCCAGGTTGAAAATGGGAAAATGAGACCCTCTTCCAAACATAACCAGTGCAAAAAGCGCTGGAGATGTGGCTGCTCAAGTGGTAAAGGGCCTGCCTAACAAGTACAAAGCCCTGAGTTCAAACCCTAGTGCTACAAATAAATAAAATTAACAGGAGGAAGCATGGATTTTGCCTACCATCCCATCCCCTGGGGAATGTCTTACATTTCTGGCTTAGAGAGAAGAGGAACTTCTAAATATCACAGAGGATCGCTGGGTGCCAGTGGCTCACGCCTGTAATCCTAGCTACTCAGGAGGCTGAGATCTGAGGATCTTGGTTCAAAGCCAACCCGGGCAGGAAAGTCGGTGAGACTTTTATCTTCAATAAACCACCAGAAAACTGGAAGTGGCGCTGTAGCTCAAGTGGTAGAGTGCTCACTTTGAGCTGAAGAGCTGAAGGGACAGCACTCAGGCCCAGAGTTCAAGCCCCACAACGGACAAAAGAAAAAAAAAAAAGAAAAAAAAATCCCAGTGGACTCTAATCTCTAGGCCACTGTGTATTCTTTGATTTGCAAGCTTATGACCTAACATTAGGGAAAACATTTTATATTGTACAGTGAACATATTGTAAAGAAGGGCAATGCCATAACAAGGCCATGGAGTTCTCTTCAGTGTCTCCTCCTGCAGGTTCAATTTTTGTTTTCTCCACTGATTTCAAAATCAGTAAATTTCAGTTGACACAGAACCTTCAGGGGTTTGGGGACACAAATGAGAACAAGCTAAAGTACACAGGAGGGAGTGATTGACAAATGCCAGAAAGACCACAGAACTTGCTGTATTGGATACAGGAACTTAGTCCTCCAAAGTGTTGCCATTCCAGAGGACAAAAACATTTTGAAGCTCTCCATTAGTCAAGTCCAGGCTGAGTATACCTTATCTGAAATTCAGGGGACCAAAGGTCCCCTGAAAATCTATACAGAACTCTCCACTGGCTATCAATTATCCAAAAATTCCAAAATCTGAAACATTTTGGCAAGTGACACGGTACTGAAGGCGTGATATTTTAGGTTTGGGAGCATTTGGAATTTTTGGAATAGGGATACTTGCTTTATACTGAAGTATCAAAATTGTCCAGTGGAGTTGGTTTGAATCAAGTAAGGTTTAAAATCAGTATATAAATAATTGCCTATCAATAACAATAACCATAAAAATCCCTGGAGTCACTAGTGAAGCATAGAAATATTCTCTCTCAGCAAGTCTAACCACCCACATTAGAATGGATTTTTTGTGATTTTTTTTTTTTTCTTGCTGAGTACCAGATGAAAATCAAGTAGCATTAAACACTGTTAGCAGACTCAGCATTTGAGACCTGAAGCAGAACAATGGAGGGAAGAATTTGACTTTTAGGGTTCTCATCTCAGGTCTTACAGGCATATACTCCAGTGAAATAGCAGTCAGAGTTGCCCTTCCTCTTCACCAGCATTTTACTTCTTTTCTTCATTCATTCATTCATACGTTTTATTACAGAGGCTGTTGGATTACCCAAGATAAGATCATCTCCTCAGTGAATAAAAACATACCTTTCCAGGTTTCCCTCCTGCTCTGGGAAGCAGTCATTGTGATGCACTGACTTTGCTAGCATCCGCTATCATTGGGGACCAGCACTGGAGTTTAGGAAACTGATCCCAGCTCAATGGATATGGCTAGCTGGTCAGGGATAAACCTAGTTCTCTTGTCAATGATCAGTTTGGAAAGTCAGATAGAAGAATTCATAAAAAGTTTTCTCTGTTCTTTTAAAAGAGCAGTAAATGCTGTTAGCTCACACATATAATCCTAGCTACTCAGAGGCTGAGATCTAAGTATCACAGTTCTAAGCTAGCCCAGATAGGAAAGTCTGTGAGACTCTCATGTCCAATTAAATACCAAAAAACCTGGAAGTGGAGCTGTGGCTCAAGTGGTAGAGCACTATCCTTGAGCAAAAAAGCTTAGGGACAGTGTCTAAGCCCTGAATTTAAGCCCCAGGACCGGCATGCATGCATGCATGCACACCAACGCGCAGGTCCACTCATACACATACATAAACAAGCAAGTAAGAAATAAGTTCTCTGTCTCATACCTTAAGAGAATTTGGGAGGATGTAGCCCCAACTTTTACTGCTAGCCATCCTACATTCATGACAGGACCAGGTTTAAAAGACATATACTAAGTACAGAGAAAACCAAGAGAGAAAAATTGGGTTCTTGATACCGTGGCTGAGCTGCTGAATCAATGGACCCTGAATCTTTCCTATCTGTAAATACCTGCTGGGATAGCTAAAAATCTGGTTCTAGATTGAGTTAGCTTTTCTATTACTTAGAGCTGAAAGAATCCTAAACAGACACATTATCTCTAGGGCACAACCAGTCTACATTCCCTATAGTTACACATTAACATACATTAATATGAGAGTAAAATTTCTCAGACAACAGGTAAAAGCAGTAGTTTGTGAAGGACATGCCCTGTCAATATAGAAAAGTGTATAATAAACAACTCTAGTTCCTTCTCTCCTTCTATCAAAGATGCCTTTATATAAGTTTTTACCAGTCCTGGTGTAATTACCTGACTGAGGGAGACTTTGATTCTGCAAATAGAACTTATATCCTCCTGGGGCCTTAGTTTCAAAAACTCCTTCTTCAACTTCACTGAGGGGCCACTCCAGTTTCCTGGCATTGTTGACAGCCTGGCTAGAAGCAATTGTGATTCCCTGTAACAGACAATAAAACACACACATAATCACAAGAGATCTTTTACACAAAAATCCCACTACCTTCAGGCTAAATCACTTAAGATTTAATTGACATTCAATCTCTCTTAATTTTTCAAGTAGGTTTTGGAAGTTTCATCTCACAAAGATAAAGACCTTTAGGGATGACAGGACAGAAGTTCAAATATCAGTGAAGTTCAATCCATTTGACACCAAATTTTCTACAAATTTTCAATATGTAGCAAGTTTTCATCTTACCTTGATCTGCCAACTGTCAGCTACTATTTAAAGTGATGTTTTTAGTTTTGCTCTGTGTGTGTGTGTTGCTAGGGATTAAACGCAGAGCTGTGTGTGCTAGCCAAGAGCTACATCCCCAGACCAATCTTTATATTTAAAAAAATTTAAGCCAATTAGGAAGCACTCTAAATTTAATCAAAATACCTTATAATAAATAATGAATAAGGCAGCTTCATTTCGAACCTGGATTATTACAGCCCTTTCTATTCCAGTCCTACCAATCTCTAACCCACTCTGCAGCCACAGTAAATGTCAAAATGCAACCTAAAGCCTGTTCTCAAGACAGCTGTCAATCTTGTTTAGCCTCTGCTCAAAATCCTTGATAGCTCTTTATTTTACTTGGATTGTTTATAATGGCCATTTTTTTAGACAAGTTCTAGATAGACCAGGTTGGCCTCCAACTCAAGATCTTCGAGCCAGTGCTGGAATTATAGGCATATGTCAACACACTTAGCTCCCTGCCACTTCTGACGCATCGCTACGCTTCTCTATTCTAGCCACACTGGCTTCAAGGCTCTTCCTTGCACATTCTCTCTCCTCCAACACACACATGGCTAATTTCCTTACTTGCCTTGAATTTTTGCTCTAGTGTCATCTCTTTCACTGACACCCTATTCCAAATTACAATAAGCCATCTGCCAAACAAAAATTTGCTGGGAGAGTGATATTTACCATGAAGTCATTGCCAAGTTTGTAGTTGCCAATGCCATAATTGTATGTTAGTTCTGCAACAAAATGATCGTCCTCAGGCCCAAATCCTACCATTGTTTTACTCCACTTCCCATCATAAGGCCTAGATAAAGGAAAATATATGAATGCAGTAATCACAGGAAAAAATCTGCTTCAGGCTTTTCTCAGAAAACTACGGACAGAGGTGGGCAGCCACTGCTGTTCTATAGATTCTCATAGGATGAGATGACCTCAGATGGTACACTCAAAATAGTGTTCATGGGCCCAACTATAAGCCTTACCTCATCTATTTCATATCTGTTTATTTGAGGGAAAGATTTGTTTACCTTTTCTTTAAAGCAGGGAAAGGAATCCTAAAGGCAATTTTCCAATCTGACTTTATTTCTTCTTATATCAATTGGTAAAAATACAAATCTCAACAGGCTTTGGAATTTTCTACTTGTTATGAATCCTAAGCCTTGAAAATTATTATTTTTTATTTATTTTTTTGTTGGTTGTGGGGCTTGAACTCTGGGCCTAGATGCTGTCCCTCAGCTCTTCAGCTCAGGGTGCCAGTAGCTCATGCCTATAATCCTAGCTACTCAGGAGGCTGAGATCTGAGGATCGAGGTTCAAAGCCAGCCGGGACAGGAAAGACCGTGAGATTCCTATCTCCAATAAACCACCAGAAAACCGGAAGTGGCGCTGTGGCTCAAGCGGTAGAGCGCTCGCCTAGAGCTGAAGAGCTGAAGGACAGCGTCCAGGCCCAGAGTTCAAGCCCCATGACCAACCAAAAAAAAAAAAAATATATATATATATATATAAACACACACACACACACACACACACACACACACACCATTTGTTCTTTGCTTATTCTTTTCCTAGAGCTCCTAAAATCTTTTCTAATATGGTTATCTTTTGTAGTTCATAGTGATCCCTTCCCAGAGTTTATAAAGAACTGACAGAGGGTGAGGCCCTCTGATAGCCTTAGGATGGGGGGTGGTTACCAGAAAGGCCAAGTGGCTAGAAGCCTAGAACATCTAGCCCCAAACACCTTTGGGAAAGTAAAGTGCTGAAGATTAAGCTCTATTAATTTATGTAAAAGCTACTAAACATTGAGATTTCATGAACCTCTGAGCTGTCAAACACATGGAGGTACTAGGAAGGTGGCATACTCAGGAATAGTATGAAAGCTCTGTGGCTTCTCTCTCCCATACCTTGCTCCATGCATCTGTTCTCTTTTGCCCTTCCTGACTTGTATCTGTCACAGTAAGCCAGGAAGTGTAAATAGTGTTCCCCCGAGTTCTGTGAGCTGTTCTAGCAAATAACATAAGGAAGGAGCTGTGAGAACCCCAGATTTATAGCCATTCAGTCAGAAATACGAGAGGCCTAGATTTGTGATTGGCATCTGTAATGAGGACACTCTTATGGGACTAAGCTCCTAACTCATGGGATCTGACAAGTAGATAAAGAATTGAATAAAATCCATCACCTGGTTGGTATTCAAAGGTGGAAAGTTGCTTAGTGCCTCCTTAATTTACCCCCACTGCTTTATACTCATTCTGACAAACTTCCTTCTGTTCTGGGGTATTTTTTCAGAGCCTAAAAGAGATTTTTAAGATATCATACCCATTACAAGTAGCTTTGCAGCCTTCTTCAAATTCTTCATGCCGAAGAACCTGATAAGGAAATCAGTACAAATTACAAAGTTTTACTGCATTGCAAATACCACATTTAGTACAAACCAAAGGTCAAAAATATCCATATTGTCTTTTTATAAACTTTATTAAAATTTTTTTTAAAAGGGAGCCGGGTGCAGGTGGCTCACGCCTGTAATCCTAACTACTCGGGAGGCTGAGATCTGAGGATTATGGTTCAAAGCCAGCCCAGGCACAAAAGTACATGAGACTCTTATCTCCAATAAACCACCAGAAAACCAGAAGTGGTGCTGTGGCTCAAGTGGTAGAGCACTTGCCTTGAGTTGAAGAGCTGAGGGACAGTGCCCAGGCCCAGCGTTCAAGCCCCACAACCAACAAATAAAGTAAAATAAAAGGAAATGTATACCTTTCCCAGATGTAGTAGGGCCTGAGTGCACCTATAATCCTAAATATTCAGGAAGCTGAGATATGAGGATCATAGTTTGAAGCCAGCCAGGGGAAAGAAAACCAGTGAATCTCTTATGTCCAACTATCAAAAAACCCAGAAGTGAAGCTGTGGCTCAAGTAGTAGAGCACTAGACACAGGCTCTGGGAACAAGCACCAGGACCAGCATAATAAATAATACATACATATATACATACATACATACATACATAAACACAGAATAGCTTGACAACCGGCTACCAAACAAATGGTGACATCTCTTTAGGTTAGGTTAGGAAGCAGTGCTGTAGTGAAAAAAGTGTCATTCTCAGCACTAGAGAAGTATGATTTGCAGTTCTGGCTGATATGTGGTAGTGTGTATCCCTGAGTAATCTCTGAGTCTCAGTTTCCTAATATGACAGTGAATATTAATAACCTGCTCCTCATTTCCATTCTTATATGATCCTAGACCATAAGATCTTAGGACACGTAATTTGCATCTTTGTGGCCAGAGCTCAAAATAGCAACCTGAAACATAGCAGATATTTACTTAAATGACTGCTGAGCCCATGTGACTCCCTTTGAACTCCACATCTCCTGCACGGTCTCTCTATATCATCTCTCCAATAAACGGAACTCCTACTGGAAAGCCTTCCTCATTGATGTGGAGTTCCCCAATAACTTCCATTAAATAACCCCTGAAAAACCACAGGGTTGGAGACAGGCCTCAGAGTACTGGGGAGAATGGATTTCGACCATCTACTCAGATCTGCACTGTAGTAAGCAAAGTACAAGATTTTGTGCGCACCCCTTGATAAATGCACTTTCTCTCGTTGTTTGTTTTGGGGTTTTCTGTTTGTTTTTGTTCCAGTACTGGGGTTTGAACTCAGGGTCGTGAGCTCAAACTCTTGCATAGCCTTTTCCACTCAAAGCTGGTGCTCTACCACTTGAGCCACACTGAGCCACATCTTCACTTCTGGCTTTTTGTTAGTTGGCGATAAGGCTCTTGGATTTGCCCAAGCTGGATCCGAACCTCGATCCTAAGATCTCAGCCTCCTGATTTACAGGCGTGAGCGACCAGCTCCCAGCAATAGGTGCACTTTAAATAGGCTGATTATCTTAACGGAGAAGCTACGAATCTCAGGAGACTAGGTTATTAAGCAGAGAGCCTTACATAAGTTTTTGCATGTCTTTCTCAATAGACTGTAATCTCCCCATGAGCAGAAGCGCGATAAACATTTGTAAAAGAACTTAAAGAGGGCAGGGAAGGTGGCTCAGTGGTAGAGCGCTTGCCTTGCATGCATGAGGCCCTGGGTTCGATTCCCCAGCACCACATAAGCAAAAAGAAAAAAGCCAGAAGTGGCACTGTGGCTCAAGTGGTAGAGCGCTAGCCTTGAGCTGAAGAGCTGAGGGACAGCGCCCAGGCCCAGAGTTCAGGCCCCACAACCGGACCAAAAAAAAAAAAGAACTTAAAGAACGAGTGCACATCGCTGGCACGGGCGGACTCGCTCAGAGACTACTCAATCCGCAACCAGGGGCCCACACGTCTCCCCTAGCTAAAAACACTGCGGTGCCACAGCAGAGTTCTCGGCCTACGTCCGACACCCCACGGCTGAGGTTCACGACACACCCGCCAGGCGCAGCTCAGCACCCTTCCCAGACTTGCGCGCCAGCCCTTGTCGGCCCAGGTCTGCACCTTCATCCCCAGGACATCCCGAAAGAAACGCGCCGTCTGGGAACGGTTTCCCACTTTGAATACGAAGTGCAGAGCTCGGCGAGCAGCCATGACTCCCACCGCCGAAGCGACCAAGCTCGCACAACGCCGCCCCGCCCACAGGTGGCGCGACTGGCCGGTGACGTCAATAGTCAGCGACGGCGCGCCTCGACGCAAGGAAGATGGCGGTGCTGGCCAAGAGCTTGAGATGTGTGTTGAGACCGTTGCTGCCTTTGGTTCAGATTTGGGACCTCGACGCGCGGCGCTGGGTCCGGGCACTTCGACGAAGTCCTGTGAAAGTAATGTTTCCATCCGGAGAGGTGCTGGAGCGGAGGCGTCTTCCCAGGAAACAGCCCCACGAGTTAGCGTCCGAGGCCAAGTCCCAGGGGCAGAAACCTAAACCACCGCCTAAGATGTCCTCATCCCAGACACCTCGTTCCTGGGAAGAGACAGGGCTGCGCTACGATAAGGCCTATCCCGGCGACAAGAGGCTGAGGTGATGTACCTGACGCTTGTCGACTGTCTCCATTTTTCCCCCCTACCTTCACTGCGGGCCTATAGCCCTCTCCCTTACAGAATCCTTCCAGTAGACACTCCGCAGGTTCTTGATGTTTTTGTTTTGTATTATTTGTATTATGCAAAATAAGAATCCCCTTTAGAATTTCTGTCTCTGAGAAGTCTGAACTAGCTGTGTCTCAATCATGATATCGGTATTCACCCATCTTTTCTTCTTTTTTTTTTTTTTCCCATTCACAGTAATGTGATGACAATAGTTAAGTCCAGACCATTTCGGGAAAAGCATGGGAAGATCCTGCTGGAAGGTCATAGGCTGATTGTCGATGCTCTCAAGGCTGGAGCTGTGCCCAGCGTTTTCTTTTTTAGCCGTCTGGAATACATCAAGGAGTTGCCAGTCGATAAGCTGAAGGGTGTCAGCCTCATTAAGGTGAAATTTGAGGATATCAAGGATTGGTCCGATGTAGTAGCACCACAAGGAATAATGGGTCAGTGATTACATAGTGTTGTCCATAGGTGTAGAAACCTAGAATTTGTTTTTCATACTTAAGACAAATCTCACTTAAACCCAGCTCAAAATATTACTGCCTAATCTAAGAAAACCTATGTATTTTAAGATACTTACAGTGGAGACTGAAGCCAATTTCTTACCATCTATAATGTGTCTCTCTCTAGTCTCTAGGAAGAGCCACACTTCTTCAGACTTTGTGTTCTTAGGGGATTTGTTCCAGCCTTTAATATCAGACTAAAAATTAAAGAACTTTTTGAAAAGTTTAGCTCTCCATTTTCACAAAACTTGTGTTAGTATGGTAATAACTGACCTTCCTTGAGACCATTATTTGAGAAGAAGGTATAAAGAGAACAAAGTTGGAACTTTTTTTCCCTGTTTAGACTAATGAATAGATAACTGTCTTCTAGGAGTTTTCTTTATCTGGTTGAATGAACTTAAGGTTTTATGTGACCACAGAGTCTGCTACAACTTAGGAAGCCTTTTATCTTCATCCTCTCTTTTTTAAGTTTTTTGTTTAAATAATGCTATTTCATCTTTTTTTTTTGGGGGGGGGGCGGGAGGTCCGGTCGTGGGCCTGAACTCTGGGTCTGGGTGCTGTCCCTCAGCTCTTCAGCTCAAGGCTAGCGCTCTACCACTTGAGCCACAGCGCCACTTCTGGCTTTTTTCTTTTTATGTCGTGCTGAGGAATCGAACCAAGGGCCTCATGCATGCAAGGCAAGTGCTCTACCACTGAGCCACCTTCTCAGCCCACTATTTCATCTTATTACAGAGGTGGTGTGGAGCCCATGACCTCTCACGTGCAAAGCAAGGGCTCTGCACGGAGCTGCATTTCCCACCCCTCAAGGTGTTTTTTGAGATTGAGTCTTGCTATGTAGTCCAGGCTGGTCTCCTTCCTCTGCCTCCTTATCACAGGTATGGGTCACCACGGCCAGCTCTTTACACCTTGTTTGACATTGGCATTAAATATTTAAGATATGAGAACCAAATGGCAATAAACAAAGAGGTTTCTGAGTAAGGGATGTTGGAGGAGAAAGAGTTACTTTCAAAGTTTTCAGTTTAGGTCAAGGTCACCTCTATCAGTTGTACAGTGTGTGTTCCCTATTTGGGTTCATTGTGTGATTCCATCCTTGACTATGCAGCCATTTACAGAGAGAAAAATTCTAGGGGACTATCTATTCTCTTGTCCTGCAAGTCCCAGATTTTTGCCCTTCCATGTGGAGCTCTTAGTCCCAAGATGCAATACTAAAGAACTCAGGAGTTGCTTATCTACATAACCATACTCTGATTTGCTGTACCTATTTAATCCCTACTCTGTTCTTCAACTGTCACTCATTTTTAAGATGTGTGCTACTTTAGGCATGTGTGCTAGCATGGCCAGCCATCTTGGACTTATGTAGCTTCCGTAGTGGTAAATGATTTCATCATTTCATGTTTTTTGTAAATATATATTAATTAGCTTACCCATACATTTTAGATCTGAGGAGGGGAGAGAGTAAGAGGAGACATAGAAACTAGCAGTACTTGTCAAACTTCAAGTTCTCTAGTAATGTAAATAGAACCTTGAGAAGAAATGGGTTCTCATCACCACAAATGTCCAAGTAAAATTAAAGGCCTCCTGTTGGGTTCAGTACAATATTATTTTAAACAGGTCTCCTGTTGGGTTCAGTACAATATTATTTTGTTCATTTCCTAACTTATAACTTTGGTAGTAACTTGTTTATTGAAGTGACTATATAAAGCAGTATGCCTATAAAATTTAAAACTACAGTTTTTTTTTTTAGCAAGTTTACAAAGGGAATTGATTTTTTTATTTGATAATAAGATCTTAAAATGTGTCTGGCCTAAAAAATGTTCCATGCTATTATCACCTCTCCTACTACACTAAAATTCATAAAGAAATTTGCTGTGGCTGTGTGGCTCATCCATGGAATTAACTTCCAATTAACACCATTGGAATTTCATATACTCAGGCCATTTTTATTTTAGAATTAGCCTTTTCTCAATTTCTCCCTTTTCTGCTAAATCCTTTCCCTTTGTAAGCTAGAGGGTATAGTGTAGTGATTTTTTTTTGGGGGGGGGGTCCGGTTGTGGGGCCTGAACTCTGAGCCTGGGCACTGTCCCTCAGCTCTTCAGCTCAAGGCTAGCACTCTACCACTTGAGCCACAGCACCACCTCTGGCTTTTTTCTTTTTGCTTATGTGGTGCTAAGGAATCGAACCTAGGGCCTCATGCATGCAAGGCAAGCGCTCTCCCAGCCCTAGTGTAGTGATTATTAAGCAGAGAACTTTCATTAAGAAAGCCAGTTACGTTTTTTGTTTTTCCAGCTATCCTAAGCCCCTTGAAAGAGCTTCTCCAGCTTCCAGACATTCAGCATGAGATTCTTATGACTCAGTTCCTCCCTCCACTCACAGACCCTTTATAAACTGTCCTAGATGTTGCTTCCCAGCTGGGATATTTTAAAAAGGAGTCATCACCTTGATGCTTTTTTTGGGGGGGAGGAGGGAGGGTGGGTCGGTTGTGGGGCTTGAACTTGGCCTGGGCACTGTTCCTGAGCTCTTCAGCTGAAGGTGAGTGCTCTACCACTTGAGCCACAGTGCCACTTCCAGTTTTCTGGTGGTTAATTAGAGGTAAGAGTCTCACAGACTTTCCTGTCTGGGCTGGCTTTGAACCACAATCCTCAGACCTTAGCCTCCTGAGTAGCTAGGATTACAGGCATAAGCCACCAGTTCTTGGCTACTTTGATGCATTTGAGTTATTCTGTTTTTTGTCCATTGTGGGGCTTGAACTCAGGGCCTGGGTGCTCTGAGCTTTTTTTTTTTTTGGGTCCGGTCGTGGGGCCTGAACTCTGGGCCTGGGCGCTGTCCCTCAGCTCTTCAGCTCAAGGCTAGCGCTCTACCACTTGAGCCACAGCGCCACTTCCGGCTTTTTTCTTTTTGCTTATGTGGTGCTGAGGAATCGAACCCAGGGCCTGGAGCATGCAAGGCAAGCGCTCCATCACTGAGCCACCTTCCCAGCCCATGTCTCTGAGCTTTTTTACTCAAGTCTAGTGTCCTTCCACTTTGAGCCACAGTGCCACTTCCTGTTTTCTGGTAGTTTATTGGAGACTCAGCCTCTTAAGTAGCTAAGATTACAGATGTGAGCCACCAGCACCTGGCTGCATTTAAGTTTTTAAATTGAGATTCTTTTTTTCCAGGAAATATGCCAATGAATAAGAGAAAAAATTAAAGGAATATAAAGGATTGATAACTGGTGTTTAAATATTAAGTTCAATTAAAAAACGAACACCACCTATTGGGAAAATGGAACAAGAAACATTTAAGGAGAGAGTGTGAAGAAACTTAACAGAAAAGGGTCACAAATGATCAGTTGTATTGGGAAGATGTTCAACCTTCCTGGAAATTAGGAAAAATGCTATGTTTGTCTTCTGTTTCTTTTTTAAATGCCATTTGACAAATTGAAACAAATTTGCCCTCTGTTGACCTGGGAGACAGGTATTCATTCATGTGTTTCAGCTTGAATAAAGTAACACATTCTTTTTTGTACTCAAAAAAGAGTATACATACACTACTTACCCATTTGCTTATCCTAGAGGGATTTTTCAGACATAGAGACAGAGTCACACAGGGATATTCATTGTTACGGTTTGTAAATAATTTAATTGTTAGTACGGAAAGAGAAATGAACTGTAGTACCTTCATATTCAAACTGCAACAGTTAGAGTAAGATAGCTACAAGCATACTAGCATGGTAAGTAAGTTCTTCATACATATTGAGTACATTATAGAACAATATTTAGGATTTTTTTTGTTTGTGGTGTTAGGTATGGAATTAAGGGCCTTGTGCATTTTAGACAAGCAGTCTGCCATTGTGTTATGCCCCTAGTCCTTGTTGGTTGGTTGTTTTTGTGTTGGTCCTGGGTCTTGGACTCAGTGCCCAAACCACTTAAGCCACAGCTCCACTTCCAACTTTTTATTTTTTTTGGGGGGGGGGGGGGAGGAGTCTGTTCATGAGGCCTGAACTCTGGGCCTGGGTGCTGTCCCTTAGCTCTTCAGCTCAAGGTTAGCGCTCTACCACTTGAGCCACAGTGCACTTCCAACTTTTTTCTTGTTGCTTATGTGGTGCTAAGGAATCGAACCCAGGGCCTCATGCATGCAAGGCAAGCGCTCTTCCACTGAGCCACCTTCCCAGCCCCACTTCCAACTTTTTGTGGGGAGTTTGTTGGAGATATGAGTCTTTTAGACTTTCCTGTCCAGTCTGGCTTTGAACCTTGATCCTCAGATCTCAGCCTCCTAAGGAACTAAGATTACAGGCATGAGCTACCAGCACTTGGCTGTCCTTGTTTTTTGTTTTTTGTTTTTTTTGGGTTTTTGAGACAGGATCTCATTATGTAGCCCAGGCTGGCCTTGAGCTCGTGATCCTCTTGCCTCAGCTTTCTGTGTGTTTCAGTTGTAGACATGTGCCACTATGCTGGGCAAATGTGTATTTTTATGTTGAAAAAGCACTTATGTATGGCTAGGTATGCCCATGTAGGGTAGGCACACAGTCTGAAAGGATATACTTCAAGAGGAGAAGAGACGAGACTGAGTGAGAATTGGTACTGGTAGAATTTTATGTTGGTTGAATTTTTCGTCAGAGTATATTTGTATGTTTCATGTGCAAATGCATAAATAATTGTAAATAAATGAAAAGTCAATTTATTCCCAGTGCCCACATCAGACAAATTAATTTCCTGTGTTGTTTCCTCAGGGATTTTTGCCAAACCTGACCATGTTAAGATGACATATCCAGAGTCACAGGTTCACAACTCACTGCCATTATTGTTGATTTGTGACAATCTCCGTGACCCTGGGAACCTGGGGACAATTCTGAGATCTGCAGCAGGGGCAGGCTGCAGCAAAGTATTGCTTACAAAAGGTAAGAACAGGGCTGTGAGTGTGGCTTAGTGGTAGAGTGCTTGCCTCACATGCATGAAACTCTGGGTTCAATTCCTCAGTACCACTTAAACAGAAAAAGCTCAAGTGGTAGAGTGCTAGCTTTGACAGTGCTTAGGCCCTGAGTTCAAGCCCCAGGACTGGCAAAAAAAAAAAAAACCCCAAAAACCAAACAAAAAAAGTAAGAATAGCCGGGCACTGGTGGCTCATTCCTGTAATCCTAGCTACTCAGGAGGCTGAGATCTGAGGATCGCGGTTCAAAGCCAGCCTGGGCAGGAGAGACTGACCGTGAGACTCCTATCTCCAATAAACCACCAGAAAACCGGAAGTGGTGCTGTAGCTCAAGTGGTAGAGCGCTCGCCTTGAGCTAAAGAGCTGAGGGACAGCGCCCAGGCCCAGAGTTCAAGCCCCATGACCGACCAAAAAAAAAAAAAAGTAAGAATACCCATGACCAGGTAGATTGGCCCACCACTTTTGTGTAAGCTAGGGCTGTGAACAGACATGTTTTGAAGATATTCCTGTTTTTTGTTTTTTTAGTTTTTGTTATTGCTCTTGTCAGTTGTGGGCCTTGAACTCAGGGTTTGGGCACTGTTCCTGAGTCTTTTTGTGTCCAAGGCTAGCGCTCTACCACTTGAGCCACAGTGCCACTTTTAGTTTTGAGTGGTTAATTGGATGGAGATAAGAGTCTCATGGGAACTTTTCTGTCTGTCTGGCTTCAAACCACAGTTCTCAGATCTCAGCCTCCTGAGTAGCTAGGATTATAGGTGTCAGCTACTGGCACCCAGCCCCTTAGTAGTTTTATGCCCATAAACAATGTTGACAAACGTCAGTTCCTTCATCTGTATGACAGGAATAATAGAATCTTCTCCATATGTTCATTTTGAGAACTACTTTCCTGGCACAGTGAATACTTGAGCCAATATTGGTTGATTTTTTAAAAATTACTTTGAAATCTAAATTATTAAGAAAAGGATTTAAAATCTAGCCAGGTACCAGTGGCTCAAGCCTATCATCATAGCTCAGGAAGCTAAGATCTGAAGCTCGTAGTTTGAAGCCAGCTGGACAGGAAAGTTTACCTCCAATTGGCCACCAAAAAGCCAGAAGTGGAGCTGTGCCTGAAGTGGTGTCACAAAGAAAACAAAAAAATTTTAAAATCAGAGTAAAGAAATTGATGTCTGTTTTTTGTTTTTCTTCTGGTACTGGAACAGGAACTCTGGCCTCAGGCTCACTTGGCTTGTTTGCTTGCAACTGGCAGGCAGTCTGCCACTTGAACCACACTTCTACTTTCAGCTTTTTGCTGGTTAGTTGGAGATAGACTCTCACTGACTCTTCTGCTAGGATGGGTTCAAATCCAAGATCCTTCAGGTCTCAGCCTGTTGAGTAATTAGGATTACAACCATGCTTGAGACTTTTTTTTTTTATCGTATGGATGCCAGTTTTAACACTTGGTTTTATGTCTTGTATTTAATGGCCTTGAGTTCTCAAGTTGTTGAGTATATGGGACCTTCCTAATCCTTGAGCGAGAGGAATGCTGGTATCAAAGTGATTATGCTGTTGTGATACATTTCCCTTACCCTCAGGGAAATGTAGTCATGCACAAATTAGCCTCATTACATTTCTCTCCTTGCCTGAAGCAGGGATTAATAAACTTGGTTACTCAGACTTGCCAAGCAGTTGGGACATGCCTAAAATGCCTGTCGCACCCTGGGAGTAGAAGAGCATATCATTCATTAGAAACACCATTAAATGTAAACTAATAGTGACAGCTATTGCTGAGACTTGCCTAAATTGCTCCTTTCAACTCTTCCTGGAAATGCCTTCGTGGAGTACAGTTCTGTGCCAGGGTGAGATCTTGGTTCTGGACTCCATTATCAGTACTCCACCCACTCCACAGATAGTAGGAACGTAATGCTAACCCTATGTTTTTCTCATTGATACTAGGACTGGAGTGAAAGAGGAAAGAGTATACGAAATACTTGTATAACCCAGTGTCCGGGACAGAAAAAGGAAGAGCCAAGAGCCGGTGGCTCATGCCTCTAATCCTAGCTACTCAGGAGGCTGAGATCTGAGGATCATGGCTCAAAGCTGGCCTGAGCAGGAAAGTCCATGAGGCTCTTATCTCCAAGGAATCACTCAGAAAACCGGAAGTGGTGCAGTAGCTTTAATGGTAGAGCACTAGTCTTAAGCTGAAGAGCTGAGGGACAGTGCCCAGGCCCAGAGTTCAAGCCCCATGCCGACAAAAAAAGGGGGGGGAGCAGGAAGAGGAAGGAAGTCTTAACTTTACTCTCCACTAAGTGAAGGACCAGACTAGACAGCTAAGCCATCCTTTTTTGTTTGTTTTTTTTTTTTTTTGGGGGGGGGGTCCGGTCATGGGGCCTGAACTCTGGGCCTGGGCGCTGTCCCTCAGCTCTTCAGCTCAAGGCTAGTGCTCTACCACTTGAGCCACAGTGCCACTTCCAGCTTTTTTCTTTTTTGCTTATGTGGTGCTGAGGAATTGAACCCAGGGCAAGGCAAGCGCTCTACCACTGAGCCACCTTCCCAGTCCGCCATCTTTTTTTTGGCTGGTCCTGGGACTTGAACTCAGGGCCTGGTGCTATCCCTTAGTTTCTTTTTGCTCAAGGTTAGCGCTCTACCACTTTGAGCTACAACACCACTGCCAGCTTTTTCTGAGTAGTTTATTATAGATAAGGGTCTCATGGACTTTTCTGCCCAGGCTGGCTTTGAACCACAATCCTTAGACCTCAGCCTCCTGAGTAGCTAATAGTATAGGTGTGAACCAACAGTGTCTGGCTCTTCTCCATGTTTTATTCTCCTTTCTAAGTCTGGGAGTTAGAGGAGGATGGCAGGTATGTGAGGTAGTCCTGGTGCAGTTCCCTGGTTAGTCATCTCTCTCAGCTTTCCCACAGTGAGAGTAGACACTGGAAAAGGTCAGGTGTCTGCTATGCAGCTAGTGTTAGATTTGACTACGCATGAGACTATTCTCCTAACCCTCTTACTGCTACATGAGAGAAAAGAGATGCAGGAGAGACAGGGCTACTGCTGGGTTAAGGCTCCAACTTCTCTGTGGGTTGCTGCATTTGCTTGCTACTGATGTGCTCCAATCTAGACTGAACATTAAAGCCAGAAGGGGGTCTAAATAATAAATCAGATTGTCTGTTTTGCTTAAATATCCTTAAATGTTATATTGTCTTCTGAAAAATAAATCCCAGATTTCTCAGTCTAGCATATTCAGCCTTCTTTAAAGAAGGCTTTGTCTCCTTTTCCAGCTGGCCTATTTACCTGCTTGCTCTCCTCTTTCTCTGAGTTGTCTTCTGCCTTTATCCTTCTCCAACAAGATCCTCTTAGTCAGGCACTGGTGGATCACACCTGTAATCCTAGCTATTCAGGAGGCTAAGATCTGAGGATCATGGCTCAAAGCCAACCCAGGCAAGAAAAGTCCATGAAACTCTTATCTCCAATTAACCACTAGAAAACCAGAAGGGGCGCTATGGCTCAAAGTGGTAGAGTGTTAACCTTGAGCAAAAGAGTGCATGGATAGGGCCCAGGCCCTGAGTTTAAGCCCCATGACCAAAAACAACAAGAAAAGATCCTCTTATTCTCTTATCACTTAGTAGCCAGACTCAAGTGACTCAAGCCTGTAATGCTAGCTACTTAGGAGGTGGAGATCGGAGGATCACAGTATGCCAGACCATACAGAAAAGACTAAATTTTAACTAATAGCTGGGCAAAGTGGCACATGTCTATTACCAAGCTATAGGAGAAGCAAAAGTAGAAGGATCGCAGCCCAACCTGACCTGGGCATAAAGCTAGACCCCGCCTGGAAAACACCAATGCAAAAAGTTGCTGCAGGTGTGGTTTAAGTGTATAGTGCCTGCCTAGCAATTGTGAGGCTCTGAGTTCAATCTCTAGTAATCCCCCTTAAAAAAATAAAAACAAAATGGCTTAGTGTCCTGTGTTCTTTTAGATATTCAGTGTTTTTCCTAAAAGCCCCACTTTGTATAGTGTTTGTTAGCCTGTTCATGCTTCTTTTACACCTGTTATTACTAATACTATAGTCACCTGATGAACTATTGTCCCATCACCTACTATGCCCTAGGAAGCGGGGGAGGCTTTTTTTGTTGTTTCTTATTGTATGATGTGTGTGTGGATAGTGTCATCTGGATGAGCAAAGTCTACTGTCAGTGCTTTTGAGGAATCCTACAGTCCCTGTTAACTCCTAGCTTAATAGAAACGCTTGTGCTATATCTCTTGATCCAGAATTTAATTCATTTACTCCACAGTCCTTTAGTATGGGAAGGTTTGTTAAATGTGTCCTCTCTTATTTTTTAGGCTGTGTGGATGCCTGGGAGCCAAAAGTGCTGCGGGCAGGCATGGGGGCCCATTTCCAGGTACCCATTATCAACAATCTAGAATGGGAAACAGTGTCCAATTACTTGCCCCCAGACACTCGAGTCTATGTGGCAGACAACTGTGGGCTCTATGCCCAGGCGCAAATATCTAATAAAGCCAATGACCACAACAAAGGGGCTGATCGGCGATTCCTGAAATTTCACAAGTATGAAGATGTAGACACTGGAACTGACAAAGACTGGCTCCCTGAACTGGAGGTCCAGAATTATGACATGGACTGGACAGAAGCTCCAGCAGCTGTGGTGATAGGTGGGGAGACCCATGGTGTGAGTCTGGAGTCTCTCCAGTTGGCTGAAAGCACGGGGGGCAAGAGGCTGCTGATTCCCGTCGCACCTGGAGTGGATAGCTTGAACTCAGCCATGGCTGCGAGCATCCTGCTTTTCGAGGCGAAAAGGCAGCTGCGGATAAGGGCAGAACTCATGAGTAGGAATAGGAGTTTCCACTGAGAGGGGCTTAGAAGTTCTCAGATAAAGGATGCCTCCATCCCCTGCTTCCCCATATGCCTGAGGAGGCCTGCAGAGTTAGAAACTGGCTTCCTGGGCCACGTAAGGGGTGGAGAGATGGAGGCATTGCTGCCATTATACAATGAATGGGAAAATAAGAATTTCTAGTAGTTTCTGCTTTTCCTCATAAGATCACATTTTTAAAATTTTTTTTATTTTTTGTGTGCTGGTACTGGGGCTTGAACTCAGGGCTTTTGACTTGTGATTTGGCTTGGCTTCCTTGACCAAGGTTTGTGTTCTACCATTTGTACCATACCTCTACTTCTCTTATGACAATGGAAGAAAGAGTCTGATAGACCCAAACTGGCTTTGAAACCTCAATCTTAGATCTCAGCCTTTTGAATAGCTAGGATTATAGGTGTCGTGAGCTATCAGTGACTGGCAGAATTCTTAAGATCTTCATTTCCTCCAATTTGGGGGTTAGGCTGTGTGTGTGTGTGCGTGCACACACACTAGAGGTGATTTACATAGCTATGTGCCAGTTTAATTTTGTCTATTTGGATTAATTGGGGTGTGTGGTTCAACTGGTAGAGCACCTGCCTAGCAAGTGTAAGTCTCTGTTCAAACCCCAGTATCCCCCCTCAAAAAATTGTCTTATTAAGGCTGGGGACATAGCTCAATTACAGCTGTGTGAATCTCTATGTTGTATTACTAGCACCTGAGGATGAGGAACATTTGCCCAGAAAGTTCCTTAAGGTACTACCCTTATAGAGTAATGGTCATCTTGGACCAGCTGGTTGGGGTGTATTTTGGATGAAGAAGTACTGGTTATAGGTTAGCTGAGTTACCATGTCTGATCATTGACCAATGAGAAATAAACTCCTGGGAAGTATGGAACCAGCAGATTGTATTAAAAATCAGATTGTATTAAAAATGTTTCATTTAAGTGTGATCTGTAGATCTCTATCTTTTCATCTTGAGCTTAGTATGACATTGTAATACACTAATAACCCAGGCACCTGAGGGTACAGTTGTGCATTCGATAGCTAGCTTTTCTTTGGGCTTGGTTGTGTTCAGGCCTTCATTTCAGCAGGACTGTTTATATCTCTCTATCTCTCTGTCTGTATGTATTTCCCCCTTCCCTTGCTGGAGAATAGTAGAAACAGTTAATTCACCAAGCTGAAAGTAACTTCTTGAGGACTATGCAGAAAAGGAAGAAACTGAACTTTATCCTGCAATCTCTAGGAATGTGTTACCCTTTTTGTCTGCTTCCTGGTGGTAGCCTTAGTTTTTAACACCTGGTTAAGTGAATGAGGTATTGACTTGGGTACATGGCATGCATACTGGTCACCCAGCAACATGGGGAAGCATAGTAATAGGATTGCAGCTGTGGCATAAAACAATATCCTACCTGGAAAATAACCAAGGCAGAAAACAGCTGGGAATGTGGCTCAAGTAGTAGAGTACCTATAAATTCAAAGACTTGCGTTCATTCCCCAGTACCACCAAAATGAATAAATAAGGTACTTAGTTACATTTGCACTTCCTGTCCCCAGGGATGGGGTGCTGTGTCAAGAGGGCTTCTCTGAAGTTAGGGTGGCTGCAGAACCATTGGACACTCTCAAGCCCCTAAGGGACCAGGGCAAGCTGATGTTTATCTACCAGGTGCCGGGGAGGCAAATGGAGAGGGTTCCAAGCACTGCTTTTCCAATCCCAGGGAACAGGGCTGGAGTCAAGGCCAAGGAGTGTGGTTGTACCACTTCTCTTACTACAGTGGCTTCAGTGGTTTGAATTTTGTGTGAGCCCAGCAGCTGTGCATTCTGGGGGGACTGAGTTGCGAGCATGCTCAAGAGCCACGGACCACCTACCTTCCCTTTCGGTTTCCATTGGCTTCCTAGGAAAACTTCGTCTTAAGAGATCTATATTGACAGCCATACTGTTTTCCTAGTGCAGGCACTTTGGGAGTGTTTACCTAGGGCTCTGCACAGGTATACAATGCAGGCAGCCCATAGATTCTTGAGACTTCTGCCTGGCCAGCTTTTTAGAAAGTAGACAAACCCAATGAGCTGAAGAGGACTGAAGTGACTCAGTCAGGCTGGGTCTGGAAGGCAGCCCAGAGAATCACACAGCTGAGTTTGCCAACAGCTAAGTTTCCCCTTCAACAGCTTAGAGAAGTGCTAAGGAAACAAGTCAGTAAAAGGAAGGTCACTGGAGTGGGAAGGTGGCTCAGTGGTAGAGTGCTTGCCTTGCATCCATGAGGCCCTGGGTTCAATTCCTCAGCACCACAAAAACAGAAAAAGCTGGAAGTGGCGCTGTGGCTCAAGTGATAGAGTGCTAGCCTTGAGCTGAAGAGCTGAGGGACAGCACCCAAGCCCAGAGTTCAGGCCCCACGACAAAAAAAATAAGGTCACATTCTGCATGAAACCAGTTTCCTGTGGTTTGTGTCTGTGGAATATGTTGCCACTGATTTGTTTAAAAATCAGCGAAAAAAAACAACCCATACCTTATCCTTGAGAAAAACAGCCAGGTGAAGCACTGAAAAGTTCTTCGAGCCCATTTTACCAACAGGGTAAAGGGGAAAAGGCATTGCGAATATTCTCGCTGTTCTGATTTTGTAATAATCAGGACAGGCTAAACATTCGCTACACTAAGACCATGCATGTGTCCCCAGATCTAGGTCTTTTCCCTAGGCCTGGTTTTATAAATGCTGGTGATAAACCTGAAAAAAAAAAAAAAAAAAAAAGAGAAAAAAAAAAATGAAAAAAAAAAAAGGGGAAAAGGCAGCTCATACAAAGCATGAGTATAATTTAGCCCAGAGCAAGTAGAAGCACCAGAGGCAAATTATCCTTCCCTTTGACTGATTATTAAGGACAAGTGGTAGCTGATTGTTAATTTGCTGAGATTAGAAAATCCCTATCACGAATTCTCATTTGAGGTAAGTGTTTGATCTGTTACCATTTCCCCAGTAAATACAAATGGAATAGTATATGACCAGAAAAATACTCTGGCTGCAAGAGAATCAGGAATGCTGTTTTAGTTTCTCACCTTTGCATGGCTTGTAGCAAGCACGGTGGCCACAAGGTGGCAGGCTGAGCCTCAGAATCCAGTCCCAAAGTTGAAGAAAAGGTCCGACTTCCCTGGGTTTTAAGTTGTTTCAAAGAGGAAAAGGAGGGAGTTGACTGTGCTTCCACCAAAGAGCATTTTCAAGCTTGGATTGTCTCATATAATCTTGGCAGAAATAAGAGGCTGAAGTAAAATTGAACCACAAAGGAGAGAAAAGGGACAGAAATGGGAAGAAGAAGAACAGGCATGGCTCTTCCCTGTGAGAATATGTCTGTACAGCAGCCCTGGGTAAGGCCCCAATGTCCCAATGTAGGCAACACCTGCTGCTAGATCCTGGGGAGAATCCCATTCACTAAGGCCCATGGGGAGACATCTCTGAGACCTTCCACCACTTGCCCCAAGGATCACAGAAGCTCCAGATGTCACTGTCATCCAAGTTAGGCAGCATTGAGCTCTTTTGTCTTCCCCCATAAAGGCTCCAGAAACAGCACTACCCAAGGGTCCCTGGCTAGTGCTGAAGACCAGCTGCACCACATGGCCTGGGGCCTCTGTCAGCCCAGCTGCCCCCCAGCTGCTCAGTACAATGGACTCCACTTACACTCATGTCTTTTCAAGAAAGCACTCAACACTTTAAAATTCCAAGATCTTCCTTTTTTTCTTGGTGAATGTACAGTGTGCTAAACTACAAACAAAGTAGTGGATGACCAGTGTCTGGACTAAGGAGCTGTGTCACATCAGCAGTTGAGATCCCTGCTGTGAACCTAGTCCTCACCGGAAGCCTCAGGACCTGTTGTTGCTCAACAGCAAGTATGAAATCTGTTCTTCCTCCTCTCAAACATGGGATTCCCATTGTCTAAGGGAAGAGCAGCCTTCTCATCGGGATGGTCCATTGCCAATGCTGCTTCCTCAAATTACAAGGATTAGGGGTAAGGGTGTAGGTGGCTCATGCCTGTCAGCTACTCGGGAGACTGAGATATGAGGATCATGGTTCAAAGCCAGCCTGGACAAGAAAGTCTGTGAGATTCTTACCTCAAATTAACTCAAAACAAAACAAAACAAAAACAGAAGTGGAGCTATAGTGAACAAAAGAAACTGAGGGACAGTAGGGCCATGAGTTCAAGGCCCAGAACTGGCACACACAAAAAAAAAAAAGCAGGAAGAAACAGATGAAGACAAGATGGTTACAATCAGACCTGGCAGCAGGCTGCCTGGCTCCACCAAGATGGGAAGGGAGGCAATACATTGACAGCAGGTGGGACATCCACTTCCTCTGATATCCAGAGGACACTGAATTTTTGGCACTGGGTCCTAAACTCCTATCTCCTTCTGTATCCTAGTTCTAGTCTACCTGATTGTCTTGTGTGAGGTCTGAGCACCCAGGAATCCTCACTCAAGGCCATCGCTGTTTTGGGCTGCACATTGGTCTAAGGGTCGACAGTGGCTTTTACAAGTTAGCACTGTATTTAATGGGAACCGAACTCTCCCTCAGAATGAGTTCCACCCACATCTGTTAACCCATTTCCTAACATGGGAAGTATTCCAAGACACTGAGGGAGTGAGCCACACTAGTGCCTTGAAAAATGAAGCATACTTACCTTCATCCTTTTACACGATCATCCGTTGCCCTATCTCTCCTATTAGAGATATCCCGGCCCAGCCTTTTTTTTCCTGAAAAATCTTTCAACCACCCCATGTACTCACAGGCTATAGACATGAATAATGAAACTCACAGCCAACAGTTTAAGGGTTTTCACTTAAGCAGCCTACTTGGAGAAAAAAGGCATGCTGTTTCTTGTCCCTGTTGTCACTGGCAATGCAGGCTGTAGAAAAAGTGCTTACTTCAATATAACTTAGGGACCAACTTGAAAAATAATGGCTAAGGGTCCTCAGGTTAGTCTTGGGCTCCTAAGGCCTCAGGAGGCACCCTCTGCAGCCCCTGGTCTTTGCCACCTCAATATCTGTACCACAGTGGCACTCCATCACCATTGGGCAAATATAGGCCTTGCAAGTTGGTCAAAAAGATGGCATTGTGTCTACCCCATGTGATGGGACCAGATGCTCACCCAAGCTGCCCCAGTGGGACAATTCTACCTGTGTATTTCTACACGTGTACATACCTATGGTTTTTTGCTTTACGCTCACCAACTCAATGCCATATTGGGCCCCAGTGGCCTGTTCCAGGCCATCTTCTGCTTTCTGTCTTTGTGTGTATGTGTGTGCGTGTGCATATGTCAGTCATAGGGCTTGAACTATGGGCCTGGGTGCTGCCTCAGCTCTTCAGCTCAAGGCTAGTGCTCTACCACTTGAGCTACAACACTACTTCTGGCCTTTTCTGTTTATATGGTGCTGAGGAATTGAACCGAGGGCCTCATGCTTGTGAGGCAAGCACTCTACCACTGAGCTATCTTCCCAGCCCCTCTGCTGTCTTATTGCTGGATTCAGTTTGCTGCCCAGAGCATGGCAGCAAGATGGAGAACAGCTTTTTAGTGTCTTTAATTAGGCAACAGGAAAAAACAAAGTCTTGACTGTAAATTACCACTTGAAACTTGGTTGATGCCAAAAAAGGCAGTGCTGGCTCCCTGTGCTGGGATAAGTGACAGCCACTGCTTCCCAGCACACATGGTGATGGAAGGTTGGATGATTGAGGCTACTCTTCCCTAGCATTTCCTCTCAACACAGCACCAACCTGCACAGAGCTAATCCTTTTCAGTAAATATGCCCAGCTGACTGCGACCCACATATCCACTTACAAAGGGGGATTCTGGGGTCAGGGAAAAAGTCAGCCCAGGACAGACCACCAAAGTCTCCCAATGGAGCTAATTTCCCCATTACAGTGACCTAAGCAATCAACTCCTCATTGGACTTCGTTCCTTCTGCCCTGTCTCCAAAGATAAGGAACTAAAACGGACTTCATTTCTTTCAAGACAATCAAAATAGGAATTTGCACATCTTCCAAGATGGGGTGGGGAACTTCAGTCTTACGCCTTTACTCACCCTACCCGTTAGAGACACGGGCAGAGAAGCCCCTGTTAGGATATGGTCGAGTTAAAGCATCCCTAGCTCTTGCCCCATTCTTCACAGGGAGATCCATGTGTGATTTTTTTGTGTTCCCCTAACAGCTTCTCCAGGTCCCAAGCGCCGAGCTCCCCTAAAAGAAGAGGAAACTACACAAAATGTCCACAAACCTAGAATTCACCCTCCATCAAGTGCCAAGTGAAGCTAGGAGCCATGATAGCCTGACCTCCATGAAGGAAGTGCCTGACCCAATTCAAACAAGCTTCTTGGCATCAGGAAATCAAGGTGATTTGGAAGCCAGGGCCTTGTGCACACATGCCTAGACAAGTGCTCTACTACTTAGCTAGCTGCTTCGCTTTATCCCCAGCCCCAGGTCTTGGGATGGCTGAAACATCGCTCTCGGGTTTTCCATGCCCCACCACTGTCTACCCTATGAGCAAGAATCGGGTGAAAAAGATTGCTGTTATTAAGGACAGGAAAAGCCAAGTGGATGATAACATCCAGAGATGCCTGCTTTATTTCTTTCTAGGTGATTGCATTTCAGGCTGACAACATCAAATACTCTAATTACCAACTAATTTTTCACCTCTGAGCTACAAATCAACAATCCAATTCAGCATGGGACAACAGTGTCAACAGCTTATTGGAGGAAGCTATATTTTCCAAATAAATGGGTTGGCAGAGTGCTGAGTAGAGCTGAGGGCAAGGAACTGGGATTGTTTAAAGTCCCACCATCTAATTGAGACAGACTATACACCCCTGGGAATCCTTAGGACAAGGCCCAACACCCTGAATCCTAAGGATAGACTGGTGTTTCTCTTTGTAGTCAGTTCAGCTCAAGAGACTGAGCTACTTGGGACCAACTAAGGAGATCCAAGGCCTCCAGGTAGTTGCCATATCCCCTGTCCTCTCATTCCGGCCCCAGGTCTAAGATATAGCACTTCTGTATCTTGGGAAAAGCTAGGCTTCTGGTTAAGTTCTTGTCACTTTTTTCTGTTTTGAAAAGGAATAATGACAGGTGATGGAATAGGGAAGGGTATATCAATGGAGACTTGGTGGCCTCTGGCCCAATGCTGGTTGAGACAAGTCTGTGTTGGCCGAGCAGTGCTCCTCTAGGAGCTCAGGGCCAAATTCTGGGATGATGTCTAAGGGGAAGAATTCAAAAATGAAACCCCAAGATAGTGGGAGCTGCTTGTAGGAGCAGGCAGAAACTTGGGAAAGGAAGGAAGGAAGGAAACAAAAGAAGAAATGAGAAACTAATCCCATGATAGGAACCCAACAAAAGTAAGCAATTACTATATGAATCATTTGTTTAGCTGCTTGTTTTTCTCATAACACCCTACATGCTTCCTTTTAGATTGGGGGCGGGAGAAGCTCCCCTGACCAAGAACCCACTGACAAGCTGCTGATTCCCATCCAACCAAGACAAACCATGTTCCTTGCAAAAGGATGCTCTCAGATGATGCCTGTTGAGGCCATAGCGCTTTCTTTGCTCCATGGGCATCTGTAAATGTCACTGAGCAGTTCCCTTCTGCTGTCTCAGCCTCTGGGTGTGCATGCTGGCCCCACAGCCAGAGCCAGAGCCCCATTGGCTGTCCCAGCTCACTTATGGTCTTTCATGGAGAGCTAGTGACCTGGAGAGAATGCGGCAGTCCCAGTTGTGGCCGATCATGCCATCCCCATGAGCCCCAAGCAGTCTCCAAACATGATGGGTGCTGCCGCTGCTGCTGTGAGGACTCACACCCTTGGGTGCTGGCTGAGGAGTAAATGCAGAAACAAGGCACCACAGAGAGGTTGGACACGGATTGTTTGATTCAGGATATGCTGGAAAAAAATCCAAGGGTGGAGGAAAGGAAGGGGAGGAGAAGACTGTCTTAAATAACATCTCCAGAGGCCGGAGTCCCACTAGATGGGCTCTGGTTTGAGTTTTTCTGCTAGGAAGTCATTCACAAAGGCCTCCACAATGGCAGGGGTGATCTCTTCCACGTCCATCACATACTTGGCCCGGGCTGACATGTCCAGAATGGTGAGCAAGGGGGCAGCTTCAGGCAGATTGGTGTAATCTCGCAGGGAGTCAGTCATGTCATCCTAGAAGCCACCAGAAAGGAGAGAAAACAAGGTTTTAAACAAAGAGACCCAGCCAGGCAGACAACATGGAAGAGGACAGTTCTAAGCATCCTGAAGGAGAGAGGCTCTTGGTGTAGGGAGCAGGAGACAGCCCTTCCTGGAGGTGGAAGAAGCTGGACAGGGTCCTTAAAGGCCCCCCCAACCACAAGCCAGCCATCTTCATTAGCATGGATGTAACCTTAGCAGACACTGCTTTTAAATATGTGGTATTGGGTCTGGGAAGGTGGCTCAGTGGTAGAGTGCTTGCCTTGCATACATGAAACTCTGGGTTCGATTCCTCAGCACCACTGAAGCAGAAAAGGCCGGAAGTGGCGCTGTGGCTCAAGTGGTAGAGAGCTAGCCTTGAGCTAAAGAGCTGAGGGACAGTACCCAGTCCCAGAGTTCAGGCAACAACTGACAAAAAAAAAAAAAAGAGTTATCAAGCTGGGTGCCATAACTGTAATCCTACTCAGGAGGCTGACATCAGGACTGGTTCAAAGCCAGCCTGGGCATGAGACTCTTATCTCTAATTACCCGCAAAAATGCAAGACATGTGGGGCTGTGGTTTAAGTAGTAGAGGAAGAGCCTTGAGTAAAAATACTCAAGGACAGCGCCCAGGCCCTGAAGCCCCAGGATATCAGCACGCGCGCGCGCGCGCGCGCGCGCGCGCACACACACACACACACACACACACACACACACACACACACACACTCCTTTGACTACTTATTTTTGCAATCAACTGCCCCAGGATATCAGCACGCACGCGCACACACACACACACACACACACACACACACACACACACACACACTCCTTTGACTACTTATTTTTGCAATCAACTGTCAGTTATTTGCAGCTCCACTGTGGATTAGCAATGCTAATTTGGACACCTGGAATGTTTAAAACAGAAACAACCTCCTACAGCCCAGATCCAAGAAAGACCGGGATGCATGAATGTTCACACCAGTTCACTGCATTTGTCTGCAATGGAAACTGGCACTGTCTTATGCATGTTTTCATATCAGAAACTGCCTTATACATACAGAAGCAAACACAAACCTAAGGAAAAAAAAGCTTTTGTCAGAGAGCAATGATTTGAGGCTACCTTTCATGCTATCGACTCTCACTTGGTGGGTAACAGAAAATTGACTTTATATTACCCCTCCAGTTGAAATGCACAATATTTAAACTGAGTGAAAAAAAAATCTTGAGTCATCCTGAAGAAACAAAGTTGGGTTATTCCTGGCTGTAAATGGAGATGAGCAGAACATCTACAGCTCTGAGACGAACCAACCATGACTTTCACAAAAACCAAGGAAGACTGTTGGTGATGGTCACCCCATGCCACAGTCTTCCCGCCCCACCCGCCTGCCACCACCACCACCACCACCACCACCACCACCCCACACACACACACACACACACACACACACACACAGAGCGCATAGATTTTCCAGCATTGCTGGGTGCATCAATATCTTTGGCACTCAATGCTTGATTCAAGCACTCCACATGGGTTAGTAAAAGCTTCATGATAAATAAGAGAGACACCTGGACAAATACTGTACATGTTGTTCCTACCAGGAGGCCTAGACGAAGCCAAGCACCCCACTGCCTCCCCTCCTGGGCTTCCACTGTGCAAACCACAGGGAGATGGCTTTAATGTCCATTAAGATGTCAGATGGGATAACTTCTGTTTGCCCAGGGATGAAATCAAGACTAAAAGAAGGGGTCCTCCTTTGCCCTGGGCCCGAGTCCTGGGCTCAGTCAATGCCATGTTCCAGGCTAGCTCCTTTCCATGGTGCCTTAGACAGGGAACTGGCCCGAGAAAGCCGGGTGAAGTGTACATGAAGCACTGCAGGTGGGGGCTGGAGCAGTGAAGCACAGAGGAGCCTCTGTCTGGTTTTCTGTCCCTTCCTGTTCCCTTCCATCTACACATGAGTGGGTCTGTGTGTTGGAGCACTGCTCCCAGAGTCACACTGACCTCCCATCAGCCCCCTCTGCTCCTTACTTCCTGCATGACCTTAGCCAGGCACTTCTTGGAGCCGAGGTCCCGTCCTTTGTCAGCAGACTTAACAGCAGCTCCTAGCACATGGGGATGCTGTGGAGGTGAGCAACTGGCCAGCACTCACAGCCCTGCCAGGGAGGGAGCCGCACTTTTCTCCCAGTGAAGCAGGACAATGAGAAGTGAGGTACAAAAGAGAGGAGTAGGTGAAGCACTTGGCTGAGTGCCTGGGATACAGAAAACCTGCAAATGCTTCTTTTCAGGCAGGCTTCTAAAGCACCGCCCTACCCAGAGCTCAGCCTTTCTTTTCTGCACCCATCTTTTCTTCAGAGTCATTCTCCAGGGGTTAGAGTTTAATAAATGCAGAACAGCCTCACTACTTTGTGTGCAGCGTCTGGTGAGCCCCAGACAGGGCCTGTGAACCTTCTTTGTTTCCCTCCACCCCAGGGCTGGGCAGGGTCATTGGGGCTGTCTCCAAGGGGCCCAGCAGGGCCTCCCAGGGCGGCTATTCAGGAGGTGATGAATGGGTGGCTCAGGGTGTCTGGCCCCTGCCTGTATTTCAGTGCCTCTCCTGGGCTTTAAACAGCATGAAAGGAGCACAGGTCCTACCAACTAACTAGAGGCACAGCCCAAAGGGCCAAGGGCAGGGATGGCTTCAGTGTCTGTCAGTGCTGGTGAGCATGCGCAGAAGTGTGTATTATAGGGGAGTGAGGAAAGCGCCTGCGCCACTGAACACAGCCATCTTGTGGAACATGGGTGTCTGCACGACACAGGTTGTCATGCCGCAGGGTAGCCAGGGGCCTGTGCAGCGACCTCTGCTTCAGGTCCTGCATTTTTTCACACTGGGAGATATCATTGGACAAATGAGAGGAGAGGAGAGAGAAGAGGAGAGAAGAGAGACAGAGACAGAGAGGGAGAGAGGGAGAGAGGGGGAGAGAGAGAGAGAAACCTTGTATATAAGAGACTGAGAAAGCTGCAATCTCCAACTTCACATTCCTTGAGCTGGCTGGATGAATGCAGGTCCCAGTGATGACCCAAGCCAAGATCCCTGTAATGTCCAAGCCTTTTTTTCAGGCTGGTGCAGAGGGACTAGCCAGCTTAGTACTCTGCAAAGAATCCAGGGTCTGGTTCTAACCAGTCCCATGTAAGCTTACAAGGGCAGACTGGGGGTGTTTGTGGCTGCAGCTGGGATGGGTAGCAGCTCTGGGAGGGCTTCCTCCTGCTCTGAGGCTGCCGAGTGAGAAGGAAGAGAAGAGGAAGGAGCAGGGGAGGAAATGGTTTTCCATGGTTAAATGACACACCTTTCCTTCCTCATTTGTCTGTGGCTGAATCAACACAGACCCAGAGGTCCCTTCAAACCTTCTGCAGCCCGGTATTACTGACCTGCCAGACCAAATCCTTCCTCCACACTCACCTCCCCAGCAACAAAGAACAAAAGAGGTGCCTCTTCCTCTTTGGCTTTGTAGTTGGCAATGATTTTCTCAGCTATTGGCTGAATCAGCTGTTTGGCTGCCTCAGACTCTCCATCATCCTCAGAATCTGTGAAGGGAAAAGAAAAAAGATACTAGGTTGTGAAAAGGTGGGACCCCACCCACCCAAATAAGCCTGAGCAGCAGAAATGCCCATCTGAGCTGCACCAGAATGGGAGTGAACTTCCTTAGGCACAGCATCTTCCTGCACACAGCTGAGTGGACATGCATGTACAAGCAGCAAAGCAAGCAGTACATGGCTGGCATGCTCACCTGCTGAGTAGTACTAATGTCCCCCAGTAGACAGCCTTTACCAGTGAAATCTTCACAAATGCATCCTAGAAACTGGGCTTTCCCCATGTCAGAACCTGAGGTCCCTGGTAGCTTTTCTGTCGATCATAGAATAAGGAGTCATGACTTGGGATTTCTGGTTTCCAGTGGGAATGGCAGAAGAACTGGCAGTGAAGGCAGAGTGAGGACTGGTTTGGCTGGCAATGATGGTGGTGATGGGAGAGCCACAGATGTTCACAGCTGGCAGCCAAACCATCTGGACTGGGGAAGGCTAACTGCAGAGAACATGGATCTGGCACACCCAGAGAAGCAGCCACACCCAGAATACCAGGCTCATACTATGGAAGCCTGTAGCCAAGATCTAGGGTCACGCCCAAGGGACAAAAGCAGGAGAGGGGAGAGCAGGCTCTAGCAGATTCTACCCTGAAATGTTATAGTGCTCAAGAGGCCTGTGGTGTACACAGACAGGGAGACATACTCCAGAATTCTCAGGGCACTGTAATCCTAGTAACCCTAGTTACTCAGGAGAGATCAGAAGATAGTAGTTCAAAGCCAGCCAGGCAGCCAAGTTCACTAGGCTCCATCTCCAAAATAATCAGAAAAAAAAAAAAAACAGGCTGAAGGCATGGCTCAAGTGGTAGAGTACCAGTAGTGAGTAGAAAAGCCAAGCAAGAGCACAAAACTCTGAGCTCAAGCCATGACATTGGCACGGGGGGAAAGTTCCTTTGGGCCTGCTTATTGGCAACCCTGCTCCCACCAGACCTCAGAGAATGGGCTGATATGCTGCACCTAGTCCTCTCTGAAGCTGGCATGGTGCATCTTATTCACAGTCTGGGTATAGCCATTTAGCTGGAAGGGAGAAGTCCCAGGGCAAAGAGCAAGGTGGCTCTTGGCCGGCAAAAGCAGCCTGTGGGCTGTCGACTCTAGGCTGAGCACGCCCACCCAACCGAGAGGTAAACTTGGCCACTGAGGCGGGGAAGAGCCAGGCATGTGGCCTAAGCCAGTGCTGGCAGCCACTGAGGCAGTTCAGGAGAGCACAGGGGAGGGCAGAAGCAGCAGGGTGAGCATTGGCCAGAGGGGGTCCAGCTTCCAGCAGCTGCAAGGTGAGCAGGCCCACTCCTTTCAACAATGACTCTGTTCATGGGGGTTAGGGGCATCCTCCAGCCCTGACCTATTCGGCCCAGCTGGCAGTCAGGAGCAACAAGGAAGGAAAGCAGGGCAGCGCAGCTCCCAGACCACCTCCCACAGGGGGAGATCCATGAATAAATCATTGGGGTCAAAAGCAAGGCTGAAAAGGAGACAAAGGCCCAGGCTTAGCTTTGTGAGTATCTGGAGGCTGTGGTGAGGTCTATCCTGGATGTCCTCCCCCCATCCCCCCTCCCATCCCCCCCCCCCCCCCCCGCAGGGGACCCTGTTGGGCTCCATACCTACAAAAAGGACGAGGCAGGGGCCCTCATTGAGCTGCACTGCGTTGGAGTCGGAGAGCTCTAGCACAGGCTTGGGGTGCCACGGGAACTCCCTGCAGTCCTCATCATTGAGCACCTCCACCCGCCCCTGCCGCGTGATCACCTCCCCCTGCGGGTCCAGCACAATGAGCGTGGGGATGCCTGCAAAAGAGACAGAGAGAGAGCTTGGCTGCTGGCCTAGGGGAGGTGAGAGGCAAGAGGCAGCCAGCAGGGACACATCATCAATGAGGAAACCAGGCCTGGAGTCTGAAAGTCCTGGGCTGGATCCAGGCTGAACCGTGGATGGACTAGTGATGGAACTGGCTGAGGTGTGCATGGCACCCTGCAAGTCACTCCACCTGCATGGGCCTTAGTGTCTTCAGGTGCACTGTGAAGGTACTGTAGTTTGCACCCTTACCCGCTCCGTGGAGAGCACAGTAGCTGGGGGTTAGCGCAGTGGTAGAGTGCTTAGCATGCACAGAGTCCTAGGCTCCATTCCTTCCCCACTCCTGCTGCCCCCACCCAAGGTGATGTAACACACACACAGATGCTCCCACCGAGTACTTGCTGCCTCATCAGCAACAGATTCTAGGTGGACCTCACAGGGGCACAAGACCCACCACCAACAGTAAGACAGCCTGGGGCGAAGCCAACAGGAAGGCAGGGGAGGAGGGCAGCTGGCTGCCAGAGAGCCGTAGGCAGGCCCTGTGCAGTCCCCATCACTGTCCCACCAGCGATGTGTGGGGAGACCACACACACACACACACACACACACACACACACACACACACACACACTAGCACGTGCGCGGGGCGCGCGCGCGCGGGGACAATCCTCAGAGAGAGCATGCGCAAACCCCATGTGACTCCAATGAGCAACCTGAGAAAAACTCCATCCTGGGTTCAGGTGCATCTGAATTTGCAGCCAGGGCTGCCCTCGATGGAGCAGAGTCAGCCTCAGCCCCGCCCTTTGGGGACACCTGTCTCTCCACTGGCAGCAGGTCCCTACTTCCCCCAGTCATCTTAGAACTATCCAGGCACCTCTCCTTTGGGGCAGACCAGAGCCTGAATTTTATATGAAAGCCAAGGCAATTTAATATTTATAGATTCCAAAGTATTCGGTCAGTAATTTGCTCCACTGACATTTTACTTCTCCATAGGGGAGGACACCGAGGTACCAGAAATATGGCCCTGGAGCTTTGTAACCTGCTGAGGCAGCCAACCCAGCAGGCATGTGGTGGTGGGCCAGTCTTCAAAAGGAATAAACGAATCCATTATGTTCACAGCTATTAGAAGAAGTGGCTGGATGTGTCAGGAACAGGTTGAGGGAAATGGGCTCCTGAGGACTGCCATTCCCACCACATCTCTCACCTCTCTCTCTCTCTCTCTCTCTCTCTCACATACACACACACACACACACACACACACACACACACACAGAGCCTGCACACCTCTGGGGTTTTAAAGATGTGTGTGGCAATGAACAGGTCACCTGAGGACTTCAGTCCTAGCCATTCTGGTCCCCTAGAGGCCTAAGCCCACATCGGGTCTGTCTCCTTTCTGAAGATCAGGGGCTGGACTTCAGTATGTGGCCTGAAGAGAGCACGGAGCAGGAGACATCAAAGCCAGCTAGGGGCACTTGAGTGTTCCATATCACCAAATCCCAACCTCCAAAAACCTTTGATAGATGCTGGGCACCAATGGCTCACATCTGTAATCCTAGCAATTTAGGAGACTGAGATCTGAGGATCATGGTACAAAGCTGGCCCAGAGAAAAAAGTCCATGAGACGTTTATCTCCCATAAACCACCAGAAAACCAGAAGTGGAGCACATTTTTGCACTGTTTATTTTTGAGATAGGGTTTTGCTTGCTGCCTAGGAGCATGCCTGGCCCATGATCCACTTATTTTAGGTTTCCTGAGATGACAGATTCCTACCACTGTGTGTAACATGAATTGAGAAAGGGGTCTTGGGAACTTTTCTGCCCATGTTGGCCTTGAATCCCTAGTCTTCTGATTCCAGCCTCCCAAGTAGCTAGGATTACAGGTGGGAGACACCAGTGTCTGGCTTTTTTTTTTCTAAAAAGTCACCTGTAATCCAGGTACCAGTGGCTCACACCCATAATCCTCGCTACTCAGGAGGATAACATCTGAGGATCATGGTTCAAAGCCAGCCCAGGCAGGAAGTCTGTGAGACTTATCTCCAATTAACCATCGAAAAGCCAGAAGTAGAGCTATGGCTCAAGTGGTAGAACTCTAGCCTTGAATAAAAAAGTTCAGGGAAGCCAGGTGCCAGTGGCTCACACCTGTAATCCTAGCTACTCAGAAGGCTGAGATCTGAGGATCGTGGTTCAAAGCCAGCCCAGGCAGGAAAGGTTGTGAGACTCTTATCTGCAGTAAACTACCAGAAAACTGGAAGTGGCGCTGTGGCTCAAATGGTGGAGCACTAACCTTGAGCTGAAGAGCTGAGGAATAGAGTTCAAGCCCCATGAAGACAAAAAAAAAAAAAAAAAGTTGTTCAGGTTCAGGACTGGTACAAGGAAAATAAAAGTTCCCTGTGAGCTGACAATGTGACTCATGAGAAGGCAGAAAATAGAGACTGGGGCTTTGTTCTATTGAAAGTGACAAAAACTCTGGGTGGGCTGGAAGACATTAGCTAATACTAAGGGAGAGACAAGGAAAGTCCTAGGAGGGTGCTGCCTGCCAAATGTGGGTCTTGCACTTGCTAGCCAAGCACTCTACCATATGAACCATACTACGAGCCCTTCTGGTTTTAGTTTATTTTTCAGACAGAATCTCAGGGTAACTTTTCCCAGGCTGGGCTCTGATCGCTATCATCCTACCTTAGTCTTCCAAGTTTTGGCGACCACAGGTGTGAACCACCATGCCCAGCTTGTTTTTGAGATAAAGTCTCAATAACTTTACTCGGGCTCTCCTCTGAAATCCTCCTGACTCTGCTTCCTGAGCAGCTGGGATTACAGATGTGTACCACACCTGCACTGGGCTGGTGTACTTTTACCTGTGTCATTTTTTTCACTTTTGGGCTTAGATCATATATTCTATGTCCCCAGAAAGGGCTCAGCCAAAGCCCCAGGCTCTGGGAAACTGAGCTGGCCCTAAAATGATACCTCAGAGTCCTCTCTATTACCATCTCCCTCAAAGCACAAAGAAGAAAGAGTAAGGCCTTTGCAGTCAGCTCCAAACCTTCCTCCTGGGGTCCAGGAACCTATCTGTGAGTATGTGTGGCAGTAACATGTTCTGAGACATCGCCTGGTTTAGTTTGGTTGTTTCTCTAATGCTAGGGAAACGGCTGTGTAGGGATGTGATGGGAGTGAGTTGGTTACAGCAAAGAAGCTGAAATTGTCCAGGGTCTAGGGGAGAGGAGGAAAGATCCAGGTAGAGCTGTAGCCAGATCTCTGTGCATGTATGATCTGAAGAGCCTGGGAACCATTTCCCAAAGATTGCTGGGAGCTGGAAAGAGAACTGGGAGGAAGGATAGATCCTGGAACAGCAAGTACAGGACAATATTATGTCATCATGAAAACGATCATGAAAGACTGTGGCCATATGTAAATGGGCTTCAGTACACATTTTTTGTCTTTTAACTCAGCAGGGCGTGGTATATTATTAAGGAAGTGGTGCAGAGTTCAGTGCTATGCATACATTACAACCATGTGTGAGCATGTATGCATATGGACAGAGACAAAAGGAACTCAGAAAGTGGAAGCAGAGGTGCAGGTAAGGCAGGAATGTTGGTAAGACAAAATACAAATAAACTTGGATTTTTTTTTTTTGGAGCGGGGGGTAAAACTGGAACTTGAATTCAGGACCTCAACTTGGTGGACAGGCACTTATTACTCAAATCACTCTCGCAGTTATTTTCACTTCAGTTATTTTTCTGATAGGATCTTGCATTTTTGTCCAGGCCAGCCTGGACTGCAATCCTCCTACTTCAACCTACAACTACAGGTTATAAAGGTACTTCAATGCCTCCCACATACCTGGATGATAGGTGTGTCCCACTCTGCCTACCTAGATGTTCCTAAGTGTTGTCATACACATGGTTTAACACAAAATGCAGAAGTGAAGAGCAGTAGATCTGGGGGTACAGATGACAAAAACACAAAAATAAAGCCAGGTCTCAGCCCATCTATTGCCAGTCCCATTCATTAGATTACTTCTCCTCTTTTGGCTCTTCCTTTTCCAGCTGAGGAAGAAACCATCTGGTTGGCTGATGAAACTCAGAGAAACCCAAGAGAGGTCAGAAGGGTAGGTCTGGACCTCTGAACTGGCCAGCAAACCTGTGTCAGGAGACAGGCACGAACACATGTACAGCCATATTCTTATAAATTCAGAACCCATCACTGTCTATCAACAGTGGAACAGTTAAGGCGACTGGTACAGTCATACAATGGGATGTTTTCCACCTCTAAAAAGAAATTAAGATAGAAGTAAATATCAACAAGGATAAACCTAAAAAACATAACAGTGGGAAAAGCAAGTTGCAAAATGGTATTCATTACAACATGACAGCATTTTACGAATGCTTCTCAAAGACACATTGAGCAAAACTATATATTATTCATAGATTCATATATATGCAGGGAAATGTGGAAACAGGTTATGAAGTTACATATTAAATGTATGGTGGTGTCCTCAGGCAAGAGGTAGGAGGAGGGCAGGTGAGGAAATGGCTCTCATCTCTGTCTGTCATGCTCCTGTTCACTTATATTTGTCTTTGTTTCTTTTCTTTATTTTGTGGGGGGGATGGAGGTTGGTTCTGCCTATTTGGTTATATATATGTATATACATATATATATGTATATATGTGTGTATATGTAGTGGAGGGCATGGGTACTGGGGCTTGAACTCAGAGACCGTGTGCTGTCTCACTCAAGGCTGGCACTCTCCAGTTCTGCTTCTTGCTGGAGTCTCACAGACTTTCCTTTCTGGACTGGCTTCGAACCATGATCCTCAGATCCCGGCCTTCTAAGTAGCTAGAATTACAGGTGTGAACCACCAGCACCTAGCTTTGATTATATTTTAAATATCTGAGCAAAAATGTAAATTCTGGGTGTGAAGTTACATGGATGTTTATTATATTATTCTGTTACTTCTTGCTTTTTTTTCTTTCACGTTTTCACAATTAAATGCAACACACAAA